GGTGGCCGTGAGTGGGAATCGATCTTGGGTCCGCAGGTTCGTAGCACAACGCAACTAACCACTACAACACCAATCTCCACCTACACACACACACCTGTACAACCACCAATACGATCACCCTCCTACCCTCCCACCTGATCCCCCCCTCATTTACACGTGAAGTTACGAGATCATTTGTCAAATAATTAACAATATAAAGTTTAATATTTTTAAACACAATTTTAATATATCATGCTCAAATAAATCCTGAACAAATAAATGGCAATGAATGAGACGGCATACTTTTTAAAAAAATGTATAAGAATGTTTTACAAGGTACGGTTTGGTGAAGAAACCCACAAAGCCTCACCATAGCCCAACGACATCAGTTCAAGGGACAAACCATCACCGTTTGCCTGGCCACTGTGGGTTTTGTAGAAATCGCGACCCGACTAACTAAAAAAATTGTTTCATAAGTACGTGAAACGTGACGAATGGAAGCGTTAGCAGAACGCCTTCACCAGGCGAGATTGTCTATGGCAACGCACGCAGCCTCACTCCAGCCAGCCGGTCACACCGCTCTGGCTATGGAAGCGACCTTGATGGTAAAACACGAATCTCTACCCCCCAACCCCTATTCTGTCCCCAATTGTTGTATCGGTCCACTACCACCAAACAACTTCGTCACATGTTTGGAAAAAGTGATGGATGCCATTCAGGACAACAAAACAGGATATATATATAAATATCTGTGCAAGTAGAAAGAATTAATAACGCGATATTCGCGGACGATGTACATGAGATGGAAGAAAGCTGCGTAGTTTTACTGCAGGGAATTGTTCATACCCCAAATGAGTCAGGAAAGGATTCAGGACGGAAGATTGACGTGGAAAAGACAGAAACGATGATGTTAGGAAGGGAGGGCATTGAGCAAGAAGTGGTAATAGAAAGAAGCAAGATTGTGAATTTAAAATAATTTGTATGCTTGGGCAGTCTACTGACATGGGACGACTGCACGAAAGACACAATAAGAGCGAGGATCACAAAGGTAAAAAAGGAACAGCATGATGCAGTGATATTTGAAAAAGCAAGCAAATCAGCTACGAGACCAAACTGAACATCTTAAGAACATGCGTGTTCAGTACAGCTTTGTATTCATGCGAGACTAAGAGAAATAATATATTGGCACTCGAAATGTATTGCTACAGAAAGGATACTGCCTCTAAGCTGGACCCAAAGAGTGACAATCGTAGAAGTAAACTCTGAATATACTATACTTATATTACCAAGTAAGGCTCACTGAGCTATATAGCTCTTTATCAGACGCGACCTGGCCACACATGATATCTCAACAAAGTTGCTTATCATGTGGAAATGTATAGCAGCCAAATACTCTAAACGCGTGTTTCTAAATGTGGAGGAAAAAACCGGAGGACCTGGATTAAAATCCATGCGACTACGGGGAGAACGTGCAAACTCCAAATATACAGGTGTTAGGGTCGGGTTCGAGCCCATGAACTCATGCATACGAAGCGAGGCAGATAACGTCTCTCCACCTGATGCAGGCCGAATTTTTGGGGTTTTTTTACGGAACGTATGTATGTTGTCAGTGTCGTCAATGTAGTATAGTGGTGTCGTGTATCATAGTTTAGTGTAGTGTGTAGTGTACAGTCGTGTATCGTGTGTGATCTATAGTGTGTATCGTGTGTGGTGGAGTGTAGTGTATAATGTGTCATCGTGTAGTGTATATTAGTGCTGTATAGTTGGATGTATGTTGAACTTCTTTCGCAACATACGTAGCCAACCGTGCTTATCGGAGGTTCGGAACACGGTTATTATAAATGTGTTGTGTTAGTTGTACCTGCACACCACCGCCAACGATGCATCGCCAAATGCTGTTCTCATCTCGACCGGGAGGCAGCAATTACCAACCCACCCCAGCTGCATTGTCGATGTTAGACGCACGGCGGTCAAACCACGACTCTGCAATGCTCAGAGCTGGACTTTGGACCAAATTAATAGAATAATCAAACTCTGTATGGGTGCATGCCTGGAATTGATAATGAGGCTTAAACCATCAACTCGTTTCACCAGAGAACTGCGTTTAATTACAGGCGACTGCTTGGAATCGAAAGCCTGCATCTCAGGATGTGTTATTAAATCCTTTATATTAAGTTCACTTGCTTGCTTGCTTGCGCGCTTACGACCGTGCAAATCTTTTGGTCGTTTTTTAACCCACTTCCCGTGATCCAATCGAGCTGACATTTTGCACACAGACTCGTTGTGCGTGACAATTTATCTTCGTGAATTTTATTTCCAAAATTTTACACTTTGTAGGGAAAAAAATTATATTTAATTACCAATTGCTTAATGGTGGCAGGCAATCATCTGACCCATAGGTGGCAGCCATCTCAAGCCAGAGGACGAGAGGACTCTAGCACAATCATACAAAAACTGAAAACCTTATAATCCTGATATACGACTTTCCTTATATTTAATTTAAAATACCAATGTGATAAAAATGAATCTCTTACTCAAAAAAAACAGAAATGAATAATAAAAAAAACCGATGCCACGCATATGAAGGATTTATAGTGAAAAACTTTGTTTTTACGGGTTAATTTTTTACGATTGTGACCATGTTCTTACAAAGTCCATTGTTGGAACTGGTTAAAGCCAACGGCGCGAATCTACAGGTACATCTAGACAGGTTAGTGTGATGCGGGGCTTGTTTTTACATTCCTTAAACATCTGAGCACATTCCATGGGGTGCCTCGTGAGGTTTGTAACCCCGTGTAAAGTAATTAAAAATTCTCATTTCTTGTCTGTGAGCCTTCATAAAAAAAAATATTCACCACTCATCATTTACACACTACTCACCACCCGATATCCACACACACTACTCACCACTCACCATCCACACACACTACTCACCATCCACACACACTACTCACCAGCCACCATCCACAAGGGAGAACATCTCCCCCAACAATAAACCCGTTTCACAGATTTCAGAAGGAGAAAATGAGACCAAGAAAGAACTGCAAAGCATAAACACAGATCCTCGCAGAAGGAAGAGGCAATGACACAAACGTGCAAAAGGCAGCGCCAACTGAATCGCCCTTGCCTTAAATGGACTTGCTCACTACATTCCTGACCTCCTTCAGCCACGAATATTGCATCAAGATCGTCAAGATTCTCAGCTTGTGCATTGCTCACCGTCCCACGGTCTCTAGGCTACACACGTGGAGGTGACGGTGCCTTGGCAATCGCGGCACCTAAACTCTGCAACTCGTTGCCCTTGGAGGTCAATGGGGACTTCCGAGACACTGCTCATCTTCACATCTCCACTAAAGCCGTCTCTGTGTAAAATGGCTTTCTCCCTTTAGTGATGTTCCAATGTCCTTCTCACTTTTTTCCTTGGGTGATGTTTACTATTTTCTGCCGTTCCATGCAGAGCGCCCTGAGAGTGATTGTTTAAGGGCGCTTTGTTAATCTAAATAATAATTAAATGATTATTAAATCGTTTTTATTAAATTATTATTACTTGCCGGACACGCCAGTTGGTTCAGGGCACGGGGCGCTTTGTAAATGAAAATTATTATTATGAAGTTATGATTAAATAATGATGGCAGCAGGTTTATTTCATTATTTTAAATTCATAGTATTACTATATGGCATCATCAAATTATTATTTATCATTACTAAATGCTGTTATGAAATGATTATTGTTTTTTCATAATTATTACTAAAATATTATTTAATTATTATGGGATTCTTAGGAACAAAAATACTTTAAAAATTATTAAATTATTATAAAATCACCATTTACTTATAAAACTATTCTAATAGTTTAATAATTATTAGCACTATTGGCTATGGACGTTGTGAAAGAAGACCAACATACATGAAATAAACCACTGCGACGACGATCTGGGCTTGTGTCTGTCTTTATTATTTCTTCCACAGCTGGACAGCACCTCTCTCTCTGGCACGGCTGCACTCCGTTCCACACGGCTGGTGGTTACTCGCCTCTCTCTCTCAACAGCCCCCACGCGCCGCTGACAGGCGGTGCGCTGGGAGGAAGCCTCCACCCGCCACATAGCCGCTGGCGTCTCGGAGTCGAGCGACGTGGTCCCGCTCTCTGACTCCACACACTGACCGCGAGCTTTCTTCTGCTTCCCCTTATATCCCCTGGCCACGTCACCAAGCCCCGCCTAAAGCCACGCCCCCTCACGAACCTTCGAGATGGTTACTTCCCCCGAGCCTTTTGAGCTCCGCCCCTAACCTCGGCCCATCCCTCTAATTGGGTGATGGCCCAAGCGGCGGAGCCTATCCACTGATCGGCGCTCATCGATTAACTCTCGTATTACACATACACACAACCACCATCCACATAGAATAAAGCGGTCTCCTAGTAATTGCATTAATAAAAACAATATTTGACAGATGAACAGAGGATGCATGAAGCCAGTAGTTAAAATAATTAGTTGATAAAGGTTGAAGACGATTAAAAACTGTGAATCTTAAATAAACAGGCCTTGCAAGAAAAAATGGAAAAAGACACATATGGGGATAAAAACCTGTTAGCCTTTACATCAGAATGTCTGTACAAGGTGCTGTTCCACTGTGGCAATGCACACAGCCTGACCCTACCCGGTCAATCAGCCTGTAGGACAAACCTTTATCAATGCGTTCCGGGCTGCTGCTACTGCTGGCTTTTGTTTGTAGAAACCTAACACAGTGCGTGACTGTAACGTGACGTCTGAATAGGTGAGCGCTGCGTTGTGGAACATTCAAGGGCGTGTCTCGGGATATTTATAACTTAACTGCAGGTGAAGTCAGTTCATTTCCCTGCTCGTCTCCGCTGTGTGGGCTGCGCACACAGCGTCGCCTGAACAGAAAATACATCTCGTCAATTATATTCAACATCTCAAGAGATTATGAACGTAAAAGCATTTTTTTAAAATATATTTTTCCGAGTGATAGGCAGCGACTAACTTTGGGTGCATCCTCGGGTCATGGCGAGCGCAGCTCCTGCTGAAAACGTGGACCGTGAGTTGACCTGCACCATCTGCCTTGATACGTTTGACTGCCCCTCCACGCTCAGCTGCGGCCACTCGTTCTGCCTCCAGTGCCTGGAGGACGCCTGGAAGGAGGCAGACTTCTACTGCTGCCCGCAGTGCCGCAAGACCTTCCCTCGACGACCCCAGCTGACCAGGAACGTGACGCTCGCCAACCTCATAGAGCAGCTGCGAGTGACTGAGACCATGGCTGCTGTTTCTGCTGCTCCTGCTGGTGTTGTTTTTTGTGAAAACTGCCCAGAAGGCAAGACGCCTGCAGTGAAGACCTGCCTCAAGTGCGACACATCCTTCTGCACGGAGCACCTCGCGCCTCACCTGGAGAATAAAAAGTTTAATGACCACGTCTTGGTTTCACCAAATGTAAACCCTGAAGTCCGCAAGTGCAAGAGGCACAAAGAGGAGCTCAAGTTCTTCTGCAAGCAAGACCTCAGCCTCGTATGCAGGGACTGCATCATCACAGGAGACCACACGGGTCATAAGTTAATCACACTGGAGGATGAGCATCAGACACGGAAGGTGAGGCTCGCGTGGGTTTTGTGGGAGCCACTCAGGAGCGAATGAGAAAACCTGAGCTTAAAAAGTGCAACAACAACATACTCTTAGGTTTTTTTGGTAAAGTCACGTAGGTAAAAATAAATAATAAAAATAATAGAAATATAATTATTCTTATTTAATTTTATTTCTATTATTATTTCTATTATTTTAATTATTTCTTTTTACCTACGTGACTTTACCAAAAAAACCTAAGAGTATGAATCATTGCAGTCACGAAAGCTTCAAATCTAGAATCAACAACATCTCATTAAATCAACACCATCAGGATGGGATGATTCTCTCTCCACGCTCTTTTTTCTTTCAAGCCGACTTCCTTGGACTCATTTCTGGTGGGCAGTTATAGAACGATCACTGTGGAGGGCTCCGTGTGGAGTGGGGCTGAGAGGGAGCAGCTCAGGGAGTGGAGTCTCCTCTGGTGACTTCGTCTCTTACAGAGTGGCGTCGGAGAAGAAACGCGAGCGGTGGAGGAGCAGAGGAGGAAGGCGGAGGCGTCCGTGGGACGGATGGAGGCCACTCGCAAGGTCGTGCAGGTACCACACGTGGGCTTTGTAACCCTGTGACCTCCACCCTGCTTGGAGTCTATGACTCTCTCCCTGTGAGGACAACTCCGTAGATTCAAGTGAACTTTGTTAGTCTTGAGTCAGTGTGTAAGAACTGTGCAGGATGTTGCATATAAAGGCTATGGGTGCTTGACATATAAATGAGAAAAAATGTCACATTTATATAATAAAAGTTCAAGTCTCGTGAGACTGCACAGCATTTAGCAGGTTAACTCCAATGACTGGCAATGGTTGAGATAAAATATAGCAGACTGGAGCAACGACTGCATTGAATTAGAAACCAGAAATTTAACGAGAGAAGATTAAGATGATATTACAGGAAATCGGCTGTCAAATGCTAGAATAAACACAAGAGACGTGACTTCAAGAGAGTAGGGAATGCTGGAAAACACTTTTGCTCTCATGGCATGCACCCAACTCTCAACTAACATAACATAGAGTCTGGCTATTTAAACATTTAAAATTGATTTTGCACGAATCGTGATGTATTAGTGATTAACTCTTAGTGCCGTACATTTTATCAGTCAGTATAATTAGTAATTGTCTACTTTTGATATGTCTTCAAGGATAATGCTATGAACCTGTTTGTATTTTCGCATGCAGAAGTATCCATTGTAATGCAGGGCATCAGGTCAGCTGCTGATATTCATAATAAAAAAACGTAGAGAATATTAGTAACAAAAACAGATAAGCAGATTAAACGTCTCCATCACATATCTGCCTCTGTATAAAAATCATGACAAAAAATGTACACATGCCATCAGCCCCACGACGTGGGAGTGCATCGTTTGAAAGTATTCGGTAAAAGCAAACTATGGACTGATTTCCACACCCAGTGTCTCGGTATCAGAGTCAGGCTTGCTTGAGGTAATGTTGATGTACTGCTCTTAGTTTACAGGCAAGGACCGTTTCGTAATGATACGGGTCCTAGTTAGATGCCAAATTATATAATGCCAAACACAAACATAATAATTAGACTCGTTGCGGAGAATATAACTAAAAAATAAAATAAACAGACATTTTTATTTCCTTACACATCTATCTCAACCTAATACATTAATTCGTAAACACCCCATCGGCTCCACAGTCTTCTGGTAGTGCATCATCTTAGCAGCATTGATTCCATAGCAGAAACGCTGGACTGGTTTATGCATCAAATAACTTGTTGTCGTCTGACGAAGATTCATATCATAGAGGGTCCTGCGTTAATTCAAGCGAGCCTGACTCTGCTGATGAGACACTGCATGCCAAAACCGGTCCAGAGTTTACTCGCACTGAATGAATATAGTTATGTTAGAGTTTCAAGTAAATTTTAAGGATGCAGAACTGCTACCGCAGACTTAAGCACTTTGACCGGCTTCTGGACACCGGTTTATCGCCCGTGGGGGATTCTTGTGGCCCTTTGGGCATCAAGGGTTCGCAGTCTGTGGCCAGCACAACGCATTTTCCCCGAAGCACAATTATTTTGGCCGACTGCTCAGACACGTCGGACACACCAGACCCCGGCCGTACAGGACATGCGGATGAGGTGTCTGGGCGGGGGATGTACGTATGGCTTGAGGTGTGATGGGTGGATGAACCAACAGTGACGCCCTGCTTGTATTCGCACGCACTGCCGCCATTTCACCTCTATAATCTCTACAAGTCCACACCATGGCCGGTGTAACTTGGGGGATGTACGCAGCGGCGCCTGCGGGTAATGTAACCATGCCCTGTCCCCGACCGCCCATGGAGCACGTGTTCACGCCACTCTGTGTTCCTTTCATTAGAGGCTTTGCGCCGTGGCAGTATTTTCTCTTGCTGCTGCACGCGCTTCCGATACTCGCCCGAGCGTAACCTGTAGTGGCACGAGTATGGACAACTGCTTTTTTCCTGAGGTCGTACCAAGTTGAGCCTCCATGGGGGTTTCATTTTCCCGTCCATACATTAGAGAAAGGGGGAGAATCTCGTAGATGCATGTGGGGCCATTCTGTATTACGCCAGGACCCCCAGGACATGCAAGTCCCAGTCCGTCTCGGCCTCATTAACCGCTTGACAGAGCATAGATGTTATGGTCCTGTTCAAGCATTCTACCATTACATCTGTTTGAGGATGGTATGGCGATGTTCTACATTTTCTCGTACCAAATGCGTCACACACTTCGCGCAACAGTTTAGGCAAGAAAATTCGACCCTGGTCAGTGAGAAGCTGCTTTGAGGCACCCTTGTCTAACACGTGGCCGTGTAGAAATGCATCCGCAATGGATGCAGCTGTTTGGTCAGGAAATGGCCAAGCCATTGGCCACCGAGTAAAATACTACACCCCCACCAGGAGAAACCTGTTCCCCTTTTGTGAACATTGAAAGGGTCCCAGGATGTCTACCGCAACCAATTAATCGATTCGGGACACTGTGATGGACTGCAACAGGAGCTGATACATTTGCAATGGTGCTTTCGGCGCTCGCACTCCGTGCCACCTGCGACGAGGTGCAGCAGCTTAGTTTCATGCACGGCTCGCGTCAGCTTACCCCCCGCAGGGAAGTGGGGACCACTAGGCAATGATGGTGTCAAACCTCATCTTATCGCATTAACAGTCCTTCATGGAGAACAACCCGCAAGACTCCCGCAGAGGCAGGAGCATAGTGGTTTGTTTCCACGCACCGCCGCAAAGCCAATAATAACCGTAATCCACCTGCAGCTGCCCTCATTCTGCATGCATGAGCCCAAGTGCTGTCTCTATGTATAACCACCCTGGCTGGTTCTGCATCACTCAGTCAAGCTACGACTATTGGCAACCCAGCTGCGGGTGGTTTACACCGCCCAGCGCCCGACGCACATGCACACCGTTCTTCATGAGGCAACCGAGACAATGCATCCGCGTTACTGGGTCTTACACCTTTCCGATAGACTACCTGGAAGGATTATTCCTGCAGCATTTCTAGCCAGTGTGAGAGCTGGCCAGAAGGCTGGTCTACTCGCAGGAAGTACTGCAGAGCCGCATGGTCCATGCAGACCCCGAAGTCCCTGCCATATAAGTAAGGCTTATACTGCTGAATGAAGCAGACCATTGTCAGAAGTTCCCGGTGGGTAACACAACACCACTGCTCAGCCGGCGACAGGACGCTACTACCATATGCAATGGCCCTTTCAACCCCACCTTTCACCTCAGACAGGACAGCCCCTATACCTCGGTCACTGGCCTCCATGTCTAAAATAAAGGGCAGGGAGAAATCAGGATAAGCCAACGGAGGCGCGTTGGAGAGGCGATCGCGTAGCGTAACAAATGCTTCCTCCTCCTCCCCCCATTTGACCTTCTGTTCTTTAGCAGTCAAAGCATGCAAGGGTTTTGCAATGGTCGCGAACCATGGAACAAACCGTCAGTAATAAGACGCAAACCCGACAAAACTGCACACTTCACCCACATACTTGGGGGTCGGTCAATCTGGTTCGCACGCTGTTTTGTCGGGGTCCATAGCTATCCCGGAAGCGCTCACATTGTCGTCCAAATATCGTACCGAGGTTTGTAATAAATTATATTTAGCGGGTTTCAATAAAAAATTAGTTGAATGTACCCTGGATAACACCACTTGCAACAATTGCAAATGCTCCTCGATCGTGCGACCAAGCACAATAACGTCATCCAAATAAATGAGGCATGAGTCCTATTGAAATCCTGCTAGAACCAACTCCATAAGCCTCTGAAATGTGGCAGGCACCGAATGCAATCCCATGGGAAAACAATTGAACTGATACAGTCCGTGAGGCGTTCGAAATGCAGTTTTTAGTTTAGATGTTTCGTTCAGGGGTAATTGGCAATACCCTGACAATAAATCCAATATCGAAAAAAAATGAGCGCCTGACAACACATCCAGAGAATCGTCCACACGCAGAAGCCGATATGCCTCTGCCATCAAGACCTTGTTAAGTTTCCGAAAATGGACGCAGAACCTTAGACTCCAATCCGATTTTTTCACCAGCATTATAGGGGCTCCCCAAGGTGCTGGTTGATGGTGAAATTATCAGCCGACAACATTTAATCCACCGCCAGTTGTACATGCTCCTTTTCTACAGGACTCATACGGTATGAGTTCTGGCGAATAGGAGCTGCGTCACCCGTATCAATATGGTGCCGCAGCAGCGATATACGGCCAATGTCAAACTTACCCTTACTAAAAACGTCCGAAAATTGCAGGAGCAACGACCGCAATTTGCCCCGTTGTGCCTCAAGCAAATCCGGATTCTCGTTCCATAGTGTTTCAGCCCATTTCCCATTCGACTCGGCCCTTTCTACCACCGCATCCACAATATCCATCGCCACCGAGTCAACCGCCTTGCAACACACAGCCGTCGCGTGAGCCTGGACCACAGCCGTCCCCACACCTACATTTAACACGTACAGAATTGGCACCTGGCTCACCTGCAGGATCGTCTGCGTGCCCAACAGCGGAATCACACGGATCGACAGTGTTGGACAGTGTAAGGAAAACTCCCACATCGAGGTCGGCTAAATCTAATCATTTGCGGTAACGCAATGGGACCAAGATTTGCATGCCTGGCAGAATCTATACCGATTCCCTAACCAAGGCCTGGACTTTTATGTTTGTATCTGACTCACTGCGAATGGAGTAAGTGAAACAATCGCTGCCCTGACAGCATTATAATGCATTTCTGGTCCATCAAAATATTAAGGGGCAATTTTCTCAAAAAGTCGGTGCTCAACAGGCAAGGCACAGCCAGTGTCTTAAAAATCAAAACAGGCCCCGACATTGCAATTTCCCAAATCCTTACACATGCCTCGAGCTGCCCCATGATTCTCATGCTCCCACCGTTAGGTGCCACACACGCATTCACTACCAGAATCACATAATGAGCATGTGACGGCAACATGTCATACATAATTTCCGAGATAATGGTGGCCGAGGCACCAGTGTCGATCAAAACGCGCACCTTTACCCCCTCAATGGAGCTGGCCACTGCTGATGTGTCTGCAGCAGCTGCCACCACCCAGAAAGCCAACCTTTTCCATTCAATGCCCGACTTGGGACACCCTCCTGACAACTAATGGATGTGAGTGAAAATGAAACTTGGAACACCGGATGCCCAAGATGCTTGAGGTGGTGTTTCGGCCCGGGTGTCTGGTGTGTCGCGACTTGCCTGCTATGGCTGTGGCTGTGGAGCAGTCATTAGTGGGAAGGTGGATGCCGGCAATGTCGTCGTTGGTCGGGCGTCGCACCGGCATCTCCACGCGATGTGTCCTGGCTGTTTGCACTGGAAGCAGATGATGGCGGGACCCCACTTTGGAGGGGTCGCCTCCTCCCTCGGCCCCCAACCTCGAGGCCATCGCGATGTCTCCCCTTGCCGCTGAGCTCAGCCTTGCACCGCCACCGCCACCTTCTTCCCCTGCTCCGGATCCTCCTTCTGTTTATATAAAAAATCACATATCAAATGTCCCAAAAGTAGTAGCGCATTTATTCAAGTGTACCATTGCCGCGTCTGATATGTGCGTGCGAGCAACGTGAACATTTGGCGTAGCAGACGGAACAAAAGCTGGAAAGTGTGCAAAGCAGTGGGGAGAGGCGCATCCTCGAAATGACACTGAGACTGAAAGAGGGACACGTGGATGAGAGGACATGGACAATAACGAGACATCATTCACTGTTTATGTACGTGTGTTGAAATTCTTTTGCACCGTACGTGGCCAACCGTGCTCATTGGATGTGTGGGGGGGGGGGGGACGGACAACGCACTAAACACAAAAAACAGTTCTAAAGAAATTAGTTTTCGTTCTCCGCTGACCGGACTGTTGAGGCTTTGCCAAACACGGGCTCATCTGCCCATGCCACCACTCCAGGGGACTGGTGCATGCTTTCATGTGCCTGCAGGCACCTGGCCACCCACAGATAGGTCTGCGCCTCCTTCTCCATGATGAGCAATATGACTCCCATCTCCTGCGCCAACATCAGCATCTTCTTCATGGCTAGTGAGTCCAGCGCTGTCTTGTCCAATCGCAGGTATGCCGCCTGCCCGAGTGCCATCAACGCGCTATGGTAAGCGAGGGGCATCTCAGCCTCTTCCCGCCTCCGCTGCAGGAACTTCCTCCGTCTTTTGGATGGAGTATCTCCCCATTTGCCTGTTGAAGAGTGGCCGTTCGTCCTTTAGGCATGGCTCAGAACGCCGCGAGGGCATCGTCATCAAGGGCGGTCAGCAAAGCCCTCAGTGCTTCCCCCTCTGTCCAAGCTATTTCTTGATAAGCTGCCTCAAACTTACGGGTGAAAGTGGCCCAGTCACCTCCTGCTGCCATAAACTCGTTGACGGGAGTCATCCGTTGTGGACGGTCCGCTGCTCTCTCTTGTGCCGAGGGGGCTGCAGCTGAATGGCGGCCGTCGATCGTGCAGATCCCGCAACTCCCCCTCTCGCCGCAGCCACGCCCAACTGCAAGATGAGCTGTGCGACTGCCGCCAATAGTTGGTCCAGCCATCCCACCACCTCGCTCCACCCCTCCGTGATTTTTGGCTGCTATCGTACGGCCCCCTCCCTCCACATTCCCGCCACAGCTTCTTCTTCACCTGCGGGGTTGCTGACCGAGACCCTGCCTCCTTTGGCTGACTGAAGGGGGGTCTTTTCCGCGTCCTCTCCCTCGTTTCAGGTGGCTTTTATCTCTGGTTATAATGTGACACGATGATACCACCCTACTTCTGACACCAGTTGTAACAACTCCAGGAGACACTACTCTTGTGATGATATTTAGTGACGACACCTTCACATGACAGGCGAAGACGCCGACTCCATCAGCAGCTTCAAGCCTCTCCTCTCGACCCATTTTATCCCTAGCGTGGCCTATCCCTTGACCTTCGGCCATGACCCTTCTCCAGAACCTTCTGGATGGCTCTATACCCCTGATCCGCACCTGCTCCCTTCTCTCACTTGGCCACATCCCCTATTCTCGATCCTTCTCCTAGACCCCAAAATCCTTCCCTGTCTGTCCCTTAACCTGTCATTACCCCCTGTTGCCCCTAGTCTTTTCCCATGCTAACTCCCTGGTCATTACTTCCTGTGACAGCTAATCCCCTGTACTGTTTTTACACATATTTGGTAGTTTTGTTCAAAAAGACGTTTAGGATGAAGGTATCCAGGGGGAACAAATTAGAGGTGAGTGGGCGGCCAGGTGGTATAATGGAACAAGAGGCGAGGCAGTCGATGATTTCACAGGAGTCAAAAATAGGGAGTATGGCGGCTTGGACTATATTATTACTGGCCATATGATCAATGTGGAGGACAAGATAACACCGAGATACTTAAAGTTATTGATCTGCTCAATGGCAATCCAGCGACAATGTCAAGGCAGCGAAAACTAGGTTTGAAGTTTCCAGAAAACAATGTGACTTTGTTCTTTACATAATGGTATATGAGTTTATAGAATGCATCCCACGCCCCTTGCAGAATTCCATGGTCCAGACCAAGGCTCGCATCTCAGGCGAGTTCACCCGCATGAGGGCGATGCTGGATGAGGACGAGAGGGCAGCTCTGGACTGCGTGGACTTGAAGGGGCGTGAGCTGCTGTCCCAGATCGAGGAGAACATCGCTCATTACCAGCGCGAGATCAGTGACCTCATGGCAGCAGCCACGCGCCTGCGCGCTCTACAAGAGGAGAGGGACTCGCTCACGTTCCTGCAGGTAGAACACTCACAGAGCCAGGGCGAGTGCCCAGTTCGCGTGTTCATTACATTTATAAACGAGACACATGCAATGTAACACAAAGCACAAGATAACGCAACTTGTATCGTCAACACAACCCATAGCACATGCATTCTGAAATTAAATGTATAATCAATTTCACCAACGTGGATTTGTATATTAGATGTTCACCCTGTTAAACTATAGACTCTGCTAACGCGACGCGCTGGCTGTAATTCACCCTCACAGTGCGTACTTATTTAGAATGTTGGTTCACAATCACTGCTAATCGATATCGAGTGCTACAGACGCCTCTTCCCATGACATCGGGAACTGAGTGGCAACTGTTTGGGAGGCCACACCTTGCTGATGAAAACCATCGAGTTCACAACCAACAACACTGGGATAAGCGAATGGCTGAGCGCAGCCTCCTCGCGTCTACAAATCACCGTGTGATTAACGTGGCTGGAGGTGAACTGACTCGCGCCCCCTGTGTCTGACTCCTGCAGGTTCACCTGAAAGAGACAAACCGGTATGGACTCATGAAGTCACACAGATTAACATACGGGGTGACGCCTTGTGTGGGACATTGGTTGCGTGATGATGATGATGTGTGGTATGATCCTGTGAGTGATGGTATATGTTGATGCTGTGTGATGATGTTGTGCATGATGATGATAATGTGTGGTATGATGCTGTGTGAAATGATACTAAATGATGGGACCTTTTTGCCAGTATGATAGTATGAAAAATAAGAATAGGTTTTACCCTTTCTGGCAATAAAACAGTTGTTAAGATATTCAAGCGGCAATTCGACACGTACTTGTGATGAACCTGCAAACAAACATGCTCACTGGTCGCCTTTTGGCGTTCTCTGGTCTGACACTGGTGAGACTCGGCCATAAAGAAGGCCGTCTCTGTTCTAGACCAATCAGTTTCAAAGGCATTGCATCATATATATTTATCTGACAATGTTCGTTTGCATTTAAACCACAAGTAGGTGTGGTTAATGCAGATTGTATTCCTTACAAAAGGTTTCTATTTGGTGTTTGAACATCAGAGCACCTAGTTTATTGCCAGAAAGGGCAAAACTTATTCTTATTTTTCATGAGATGATGCTGTGTAACACACGGGTTGTGTGAGTCACTGCTGGTTCTGGTCTCACAGGAGATACGCTCAGAAGGGATCTCTACCCTCATCTCCCAGTGAAAAAGATATCGCCTCGATCATCACCCTGCAGGGAGCTGTGGTCAACCTGCTGGCATTCATGTGTGAGTTCCACGGACTCTTGCTACGTGTGCATCTGTTATTGTGCACATAATTGCGCTTGTACATGTATGTTGTAGAGCGGTAGTGTCGTGGTTAGTGCACTGTGCTACGAACCTGGCGTCCCGAGTGTGAATTCCGCTCAAGGCCAACACCAGTGATGGGTTATCTGAACCGGTCCTGGACCTACCGTAGGTCGACTCAGCCTCAAATGAGTACCTGGTGCGGTGTGTAAACATCACCACTGGTGGAGACAAAGGCGGCCTGACGTGGTGCTGGCCACTCACCCCCTCGTGTGCCATGCGGGCCTTCATTGACACTTACTAACAGAACTTTACATAAAAGTCAGTTGAGGATATACGGAGGTATCGTATCTTTGTAATAGTGTATAGATCTATATTGAACTTCTTTCACACCAACCATGCTAACCGGAGGTGTATGGGTTTATGGATGAGCGAGAGTGAGTACGGATGTCCAGTGAAGGTGGGATGGTTTGTGCACTGATATACAAACATGGTCACCAACAGACTATTCACGGCCATGGCTAACATCAGTGGTGAGTGTATTCAGAACCAATTTTGGAGCTCTCCTAGGTCCACTCAGCTTAAATGAGTACCTAGTACGTCTTGTAAAGATCGCCACTGCAGACACAAAGGCTGCCTGTAGGATTTGTATGGTTCAATTATAAAAACACACAGGACCCCATTCAAACCCAAAGTGGCATGGTCTCAGCTAGCTGATGAAAGTTGCAAGCGAGAATGTCATCATCGCTTGTGGCTGTGGTTGGCATCGCCCCCCAATCTTCCAGATGTCGAGGGGAAATGGGTGATGTTAAGGACTGTGGCTCATGCAGCTGCAATGGCTGTTTTGGGTACACGTTCAGACCGCCCCAGAGACCCTGGCTGACAGAGGAGGTGTTCAGGATGGCTGAGAAAAAGCGAAAAGCCCACTCTCATCGTTTACAGCATCCCACGTCAGAGAATGAGGAGGCTTACCACAGCCTTCGCTCGGAGGTTCAGAGAGCCGTGAGGTGCTACAAGGATGGGTAGTGGTCGCGGGTTGCTGATGAGATGGAGTCTGTCTCAATGGCCTGCGATCCCAAATCGCTCTTTAACTCCATCAAAAAAGTTACCTGAAGCATCACACCTATTACGATCATTAGGGGAAAGAACGGTGATCCAATCTCTGAGCCCAGGAACAGGTTTGCAGATTTGCTGAGAATTTCTGTGAGGTCCTCGGAGAGGGAAAATCCCTCAGCCTGGAAAACATCGTAGGACAAAGTGGAGATGACCCCTTGTGAGTGGCCGGCTGAGGTGCCATCTATTGGGGAAGTACTGACGGCGATCCAGAGTCTGAGACCAGGAAAGGTACCGGGCAGAGATGATCTCCCAAGCAAAATGCTGAAGGAGGATGGCATTTGTGCACAGACTGTCTACATGACATCATAACAACAGTCCAGACCACTGGACGGGTTCCACAGGATTGGAAGGATGCCCTGGTGGTCCCCCTCTTTAAGAAGGGGGACCGCACAGACTGTAACAACTACAAGGGCTTCTCACTCCTCAGTGTGCCGGGACAGGTTCGGCAAGGATTATTCAACATCGCCTTGCCAGGCACGCTGAGGAGAGGCTTGCGGAGCCCCAATAAGGATTCAGGAAAGGGCGGTGCTGCACAGATGCATCAGCCAGTCATCTCAGTCAGTCGACCCGTGGCACCTGGATCTGTCCCGTGACCTCCTGCCAGCGGACGTTCGACACTTCACGTGGCCTCAACGTGCACATAGCCTGGCACAAGCGTCGTGGTGACATCACCGCCACTTAGTGGCGATTTGCGGTTGTTGTTGTTTTTCACAGAGACATTATGGTTGAGATTTTTAGGATTCATTATTAGTCCTTGAGACTGCGATTTCCAGACTCAGACACAGTTAGGATTCTTAGGGTTCAGTGTTAATGCCTAAAGCTCTCAGAATGAAAGGCACCTTTAGGATTCTTTGTTAATATTCAGAGGTTTATCAGACAAACAGCCAAGGGCTTCACCCTGGTTGACCGTGTAAATCACTGCATAGGAACAAAGGTAAATTACTATAGATCGTTTATCAATATACCGACACATTAACATATACTGTAGCACACACACAGATGAGTGTAAATCACTATAACAAGAGGTCTATTAACACTCCACGTGTGTACGATTGAGTGAGCATGCTGTTTCTAATTTGCGTGTGAGTCTTTGACACACACACGCTTTGCTGATATTCTTAGGATTAAGAATGATTAGTGCTTGAGGCAGCGAGATACAGACACCTTGCGGATTATTATGGTTCAGTGTTACAGCCTGAAGCTCTCAAGGCAACTTTAAGTTGTATTAGACAGCCAGACCAAGGCGTAACCTGATTTGCCTGTGTAAATCACTACACAGCCAACACACAAGTTAATTACAAAAGAACACGTATTAATATATACCGATACGTTTATATAGACAGAGATCCCTCGTATAGCTTTAACGGACTGTTGGGGCAAGTGCTCTTAGCTCGCACCTATGAAGGCCAGCACGGCACATGAGGGGTGGGTGACCAGCACCACGCCCGACCACCTTTGTCTCCCAAGTGGCAATGTTTACACACCGCACCAGGTACTCATTTGAGTCTCAGTCGACCTAGGGGAGACCCAGGACCGATTCCGATAATCGTCACTAATGTTGGCCGTGAGCAAGATTCAAATTGGGGTCACTGCGCTAAGTACTGTGCTACCACTCTCCGCGACCATTAATCAATGTTTATGAATAGCACACACACACACGAGTGCACATCACTACAGTACTGCTACAGTATTACAGTGGTTAGTGCGCTGCGCTACGAACCTGGCGACCTGAGTTCGATTCCCGCTTACGGCCGACACCAGCGGTGGATTATTTCAACCGGTCATGGGCCTCCGCTGGGTCGACTCAGCCGGGTTTTCCTGGATGTTTCTGTTGCGTGTCGTCACTTTAAGATGTTCTTTGTTCATGTTTTTTGTCTGTTGCCGTGACGCCCGAGTCAAGAGCCGCATGGCTCACAGGGCTATACCTAATATTAAACAGAAACTGAGTCGCTGGTTCGGTGTGTAAACGTCACCACAGGGGAGACAAAGGCGGCGGGGAGTGGTGTTGGCCAACCCCACCCCCTCGTGTGCCGTGCCGGCCTCCACATGTGCTCACCAAAAGCACTTGTTCCTACAGTCTGTTAAAGGCTACACAGGAGATCGTTGTGTTTGTTGTACACACACAGAGAAGCTGCGGCAGTGTTGATATCCACGCTGCACACGGTGTAGGGAGGCCTGACAAAGTGTCATTACATATCATCACACCGATAGCTATACATTATGTTGTATAATGATGCTCATTATGAATTGCTCTATTGTAATGTATGTGCGTGGTAGTTCACGAGTGCTGTTGTTATAGCTGTGCTGTTGTTACACGGCGACTGTGATTATCGTTACTGCAGATGGACGCTCATCGAGTCTGGACCAAAACTCGGCCCACAACAAACTCCAGATTTCCTCGGATCTCAGGACGGTTACGCGGACCGCTGTCTCCCAGGGTCGCCCTGATCACCCACACCGCTTTGATCACTGGCCACAAGCCCTGAGCTCCGAGAGCTTGTCGTCGGGTCAACACTACTGGGAGGTGGACGTGGGGGGTGCGGCGGGGGGCTGTGTGGTTGGAGTCGCGTATAGGACAATCGCACGCAAAGGGAGTGGTAAAGAATGCAGCCTGGGACAGAACGACTCATCCTGGATGTTATATAAAGATAACAACAGCTGCTCAGTTTGGCATGGTGGTGTAAAGAGCTCAGTTGCGGTGAGGGATCCTCCCCGGAGAGTCGGGTGTCACCTGCACTGTGAGGCGGGATTGCTGTCGTTTTACCGCGCTGACTCAATGGAGCTGTTGCACTCCATTCACCACTCGTTTAGTCAACCGCTCTACCCCGCACTGAGTGTGTGGGGTGATGGTGACTCAGTGAGGATTCTGGATCTGAGTCGTGCGTCCTTAGAGCACAGAGCGTGAGCAGCGCAGAGAAACGGGCACAACGCACAGACTCATGCACACAAAGACACAGATCCACCATGAAGCCATGAAGCCTTAACAGACTGTTGGGGCAAGTGCTGGTAAGCGAACACCTATAAAGGCCGGCACGGCACTCGAAGGGGACGATCGCCAACACTACGCCTGGCCGCCTTTGTCTCCCCAGTGGTGACGTTTACACACTGCACCAGGAACTCATTTGAGGCTGAGTCGACGTTGAGAAGAATAAGGTTGGCCTGTGTTGTGCCCAGTGTAAGAAATTAAAGAAGAAGTACCCTCTACATGGCGTGTCCCGGAAGTCGCTCATTACATTTGTGGGAGTGGGTTGGTGTGTGTATGCCTATATATGTACGTGTCTTTGTTATTGTGTCTGTGTCTTCGTGTCTGTGTCTTTGTGTCTGTGTCTGTACGTTCATTGCGTGTGTCTGGGCGTGGTTCTGGCCACCCACCCGCTCGTGTGCCAGTGCCAGCCTTCATAGTTGCAACTCGCTACTTACAGTACTTGCCCCAACAGTCTGTAAAGGCTACATGTGAGATATTTGTCTTTAGTGTATAGAGGGGCCTGTGTGTAGTGTGGGGTGGAGCGGTGGTGCAGTGGTTACCGCATTGTTGGGGGAGGGCGGGGGGAGCCAAGGTTCTCTCTGACCCCATCGCTCGTCATATTGCACCGCACGCCACATGGTGCTCAACGCCGAGAGTACGGAGTTCCACTGCGGGCAGGGCATAGATAGAGAGAAGTCACTTCTAGTATTAGTAGGAGGAGGTCTTTCACCACCAATATTATTCGTAATAAAAGTTTGATTTGATTTCTATTTTAATTATCTGTTCTCAGACTTAGACTTGGACATGCAGCCACAACCTTCGATTCATGGGATAACGCCTCCCTCTGCTGACAAAATAGGAACTGTGTTTTGACTCTGAAGTGGGTTAAAGTAATTAAGCGCCTGATATATATCTACAGTGAAGATCTACCTTACACTACAACACGACTAATATTGTCTCAACACGCATTAATAACACACAGACACTGTGTGGTATTACAGGGATAATGACAACGCAAACTCCAAATATACAGCAGCTTTCAGGGTCGGAATCAACCCACAACCTCCTGCATACAAAGCGAGGGAGTTAACATCTCCAAACGTGATACACCAATCCGGTTTGAACCCAACCTCAAATCTCAGGCTGTTTAGCAACGCGTAGATTATTTGAGACGCATTGATTGTATTGTGCCAGTTGTGTAATTGTGTGAACGTTAATCGCATTGTGTTCTGGGCTGTGTGTGAGATTTCTATTTGCTCCATTGCTGGCATGGGTTTGACTTCTTTTGCTATTTTTCAATTTTGTGATCCAGGTCACTCTTGTTAATGAGACGCATCCTGATCTCCTGAGTTCTCACCTCGTTGAACTGAACTTCAACTCAACTCGATCATCATCATCAGCAGAAGTACCATCAGCAGCAGAATTAGTAACAGGAGCAACAGCATCAGCAGTGGTAGCTCCATCGTTAGCATCATCATCAGTTTCAGGAATGGGACCAGCAGCATCAATAATACTAAATAATTATCAGCAGTAACATAATCAACAGTAGCAGCAGCACCATCACCGTTACCATCATCATTATCATCAACAGGAGTAGGACCAGCAGCATCAACCATAATATAATAATTAGTAACAGTAACAGAATCATCGGTAGCAGAAGCAGCATCACTATCAGCACTCTTGCAAACGAGACTCATCCAGGTCTCTTGAGTTCTCACCTGGTTAAACAAATCGACTTTAACACGGAGGCTTTCGCGACCAATATTCTCCATATTAAAGGTTTCTTGGGTTAGATCGCGGAAATATAGACTTGATTTTGTTCTAGGTTACCTGTGAATTGGAATCATATTGTATTCTGGGTCAAGGGTCAATGTATTCTGGATGAATAAAAATTTTAATCAGAAAATCTATTTTCAAGATTGTCATCCAGGCTGTGATTGTGTCTCTCTCAGAGCTGAGGCTGACTGACTTGTGTTAACAGGCATGTTTGAGATAGTTACTGTTGTTTTTTTTATATTATAAATCTACTGCTTACGCCTTCACAAGTATCTCTACATCTTCACAGGTAAGTGCTGTCTGTAGCCTTGGGCCACATTCCATGGCGCGTCTCGTGGTATTTATAGCTGCACTCTCAGTCGGTTTACTTGTTCCTCGTCACCGTGAGCTATGATAATGAATGGATCCTGACTGATGGATGATGATGATGATAATAACAATGACTACGCTTGGTAATAATGGACACCACTCTCTCACCTGCACTCAACACTCTCTGACCCGACACCTGCCACTCTCTGACCTACAACCCCCCAGCCATCTGGAGCCCCTCCCTCCCACCTGCACTCCAGATCTCCCACACACTCATCCAAACCACCCATTCACCCAACCTCTTTACCTCCTACCCGCCTACCCGCCTGCCCACACCGATACATGCTCATCCATTCACTTGTTAATTATCCTATCCTCACACTCTCCCACCCGCCCACCTACTGTATTCACCTGTCCACCCACTCACCATTCCACCTCATATTTATTCAAGCGCCAACTCCTGGCTGATCTCCCTCCCACTTGATCACCTGCCCACCCGCTCACTCACTCACCCACGCACACGATCATCCTCCCACCCTCTCACCCGATTACCCACCTACCAACATGATTAAAATTACATCTGAAGAATATCACCCATTTACACATGAACTGGAGAGATTATTTGTCAAATAATGAACAAATATTAAGTTGATAAACTTGATTTGGAGCTTTTGTGACTGCAGGAATAACTTATTGGTTCTTTTGGGAAAGTCACGTAGAAAGAAAATACATTTAATAATAGAATATGACGTTTCGATTGCAACACAAGCAATCATCATCAGGTACGAATGAATAAGGATAAAAAACGAGTAAATTTAGGATAAGAATGCAATTCAACACAGATAGTCGGATAACATAACAGTCAACACCCTACCTGGTTGATTACGTTCTTCCAAAGATTGCTAAATTTGAGAGAGAGATAAAACACAGACACGGAGACATATAGACAGACACATAAGCAGAGAGAGACAACACAGAGCCACAGAGAGAGAGAGACACACAGAGAAACAACGCCTCTGTGTCGAGGCCTTAAATAGAGAGAGGGGGGCAGAGAGAGAGGGGGGGGGGCGGTGGAGAAATTAGCATGCCAATGAGAGATGTGGAGCTTTCGTTACTGCAGGAAGTACTAGAGAGACAACACAGAGACTAAGAGAGAGAATAAAACTTAATAAAACAAACTTAGTAAAATTTGGGAAAGTAATGCAATGCAACACAGAGAGTCGGTCAACACACAATTAACGCATAGCCTGATTGATTACGCTCTTCCAAAAATATCTAAATTAGAAGTTAAGTGTGAATTTTGAGAGAGAGACAAGACACAGACACACAAAGACAGACACACAAGCAGAGAGAGACAACACATTCGTACCTGATGATGATTGCTTGTATTGCAATCAAAAGGTCGTATTCTATTATTTTATTTATTTTATTTCTACGTGACTTTACCGAAAAAACCATTAAGTTGATACATTTTTCAGAACAATTAAAAACCATACTAAAACAAATCCTGAACAAATAAATGGCAATAAAAGAGACGACATAATTCGTTTTAAACCTTGAATCAGAATGGTTTTTCAAGGTACAGTTTGGTGCAAAAACCCACAGAGCCTCACCATAGCCGACGAAATCAGCCCGAGGGACAAACCATCACCGTTTGCCTGGCCACTCTGGGTTTTGTATAAATCGCAACGCTCCTGTTGCATTCACACCGCCGCCGTGTGCGCTCCAGGGACAGCGTCTCTCAGCCACAGCGAGCGGCTATCGGTGAGAAGCCACTGAGAGTCGTGGCGTGCGCGGCTCCCACTGAGAGCGTAGCGAGTGGACCTGGCTCCCGTCTGGAACTGGTCAAAGCCGACCGTGTAACGTGTCTCACGTTGCGTCTCGACAGCTGCGTGCGATACGAAGCTCGTGTCTATGACCTTGACCACCTGAGCACATTTCCACGGAGTGTATCGTGAGGTTTCTAACCTCGTGATAAGTAATGTTCACTGCCTTGTTCATCACCGATGTTGTGAGCCCACAGAATGTTGATGGTTAAAATGTTTTAACTGGAACGTCCCTCGATTCAATCATTCGCAATTGTGTCCAGGGTATCAAATGACACATACGTGAAAACTTCAATAAAAGATTTACTATGGACTATATTTTCATTTTATTTTACCAGGCAAGTCCTAATGAGCTACCTTGCTCTTTTTCAAAAACGATGTGGCCATCACAGATGATAGCTCACCGAAGTGGCTTATCATCATGTGGAAATGTATAGCAGTGGCTTAATAGACGTCAGGGTCGGGATCAAACCCACAACCACCTGTAGACCAGGCGAGGTATTTAACATCTAATCACACCAAATAAAATATTAAAATCTACATCTTACACGGTTTACATTTATATACCACGTAAAACACATTGATACAGAGCCAAGAACAAGCAAGGCATCGCACTCACGTGCATCAGAGCGAGGTCAAACGCACGAATGCACGATGAGTACTGCCAGGTCATGTGGGACGTTCTCTCGCTGTCACAAAATCACTCAACGCGTTCGTCAAATAAAACCGCATGGCCCTTAATGGTCACATATATTAAACGACGTTTCAGGCAATGGACCTACTTTCTAGGACATCATTGAGAGTTAAAGCAGGAGGGCGATGCTGAATGAGTGCGTGCGTGTTTGGGTTTTTACTCTGATAATCGTTGCTTGAGTGAATTTAAGGGTTTTAAATTGTTTCACACACACGCATTTCTCTCTGTGTGCATGTGGCAGAGTTTAGCGTATCAACAACGAATAAATAAATAACAACATCAGCGAGCCGTTCTCAAATCACCGAAATGTTGCTGCGTTTGGGGAGGCAAGGGGGAGAGAGAAAGGGGGGGGGGGAGTGCAGGGTAGAGGGAGGGGGGCCGCGTGAGCGCTAGGGGAAGAGGACGTGAGGCTGGGGGGGGGGGAAGTGGACGGGGCTAGAAGTTGGAAGCTGGAGAAGAACAGATAAAAATGTGCTAGTAAACCGGCAGGTACGATGGAACAACCATAAACAGTTAAGGTTTTACCTGGTTGATAACATCCTTCCAATGATTGTTCAATTTGTATCCATCTTCTCGGTTGAAGTTTGTCTATGTTTATATATCTGGATGGCTTCATGAACAAACCTTTGATAGTAGCCCGAAGGTTTGCAGAGTACCTTGGTCTCGGAAAAAACAATGTCATGCGAGCCCACAGCGTTATAACAATGGTCAGCTACGGCAGAGGTATTGGTTCTGCTATGTTACAGATCTGCCTTGTGTTCGCAAACACAGTCCGAGACATGTTGTTTCGTTTCCCCAATGTAACTATTACCGCAGGTACAACTCAGTTTGTAGACTTCAGGGTATTGCATGTCAGGAATGACATCATTCACAGATGGGATTAGATCACAGATTTCGTGTACTGTATTGAATCGGACCTGGATCTTGTGTTTGTTTAAGATTTTGGAAATATTTTGGTAACACCTGCTAAGTATGGCAAGGTGATGATTTTGATTGGGTCCTTAGATGGTTGTCTCCCCATGGTTAGAGAAACAGCTTTGCGGATACTGTGGTCTGAGTTCCCATTCATCTTGGGGGCTTGGTGTACGTATTACAGTTAATTGGCTAGGTGGTGTTGGTCGGAGATCCAGTGGGTCCCATGGTGTGGTGTTTTGATGAGGGAATTCTTCTGGACCTAATGGTATGGGGAATCAGGTTTAAGATAGGAATCTGTGTTGGTTCCTTTCTGTGGACAGAGTGTCCCAACGAGCCGTCAGGGTTCTTCTCAAACAGAACATCCAGGAATGGTAGCTTATCATCCTTCTCCACTTCCATGGTGAATTTGATGGATGGGTGTATGGAATTGATGTGGTTGAGAAATTGGTTCAATGCTGACAGGCCATGTGGCCAAATGACGAAAGTATCATCTAGGTATCTCTTCCACAAGAAAGGACGTAGGGTGGATGTTGGATGGCATCTGTTTCTAATTTCTCCATGAAAACATTCGCTATCATTGGTGATAAAGGGGAACCCATGGGGGTACCTTCATTTTGTTTGTAGAAAGTACCATTCCAGGTAAAGTAAGTGTTGGTAAGGCAGCCTCTAACCAAAGTTGGTACATCCGGATTCAGTCCATGTTGGACCAAGTCTTCAATTATTGCTAAGGTGTCAGGTACAGAAACCTTGGTGAACATAGAAACTACATTAAATCTGACAAGCAAATCATCTGGAGACAGTGAGATGCTCTTGATTAGAGAGACCAAGTCAGCTAAGTTAAGTACTGCTGAGGTAGTCTTGCCCGTGAATGGAAGCAAGGTGTCAGACAGAAAACGGGCCAGTTTGTAGGTAGGTGAGTTGATAGTGGAAACGATGGACCGAAGTGGAGAACCTTCTTTATGGATTTTGGAAGACCATAGAATCTGGGTGGTCTAGCAGCAGAAGGTTTTAGGGAGAGCCGCTTGAATGGTTCGTTTAGAGAAGTCGGTTTTTGGAATCAGGCGGTTGGTAGGATCTTTGTTCATGTTGGTGTAACTGCTGTCATTAAGAAGGTCCTGTATTTTGTTGTTATATGTGGTTTTATCCATGATGGCAGTAGCATTGCCCTTGCCAGCTGAGAGGATGACTATGTCCTCTCTCTTTTTTTAAGAAAAGGAGTGCTTACTTACGCTGGCACTGGTTCCAACAAAAAAAGTTGCAGCTAATGAGACAAAATTAGCATACACAAATTAACGTTTACGCTTTCAATCTCGCTGTACTGATGGCATGTTTTGGACACTGGGGATTTGCTATAAACACATCGAGACTAACATTTTAAAGTCTAAGTAATTTCCTTTTCAGATGAGCACGGAGGGCAACTCCTCCTCTACTGTTTAATGGTGTAAGCCTGGCGGTGGAAATTCCGCGTTCATATGGCGGCGGGGGAAGGGCGAGTACATCCACAAGACGACTGTTGACCTCTCCACCCCGTGGTTACTCATTTAGTCGACTCTAAGAGAGCGGGATGATTGGCCGAGTCAGCCCCCAACCCCACACCCCCCGGACCCACCAAAACAGGATTCGACTCCCAAACATTGCGATTGAGAGCAGCAATCACACTGCACGTGAGCGCGGCTTATTTGAGCAGGGGAAAAAAAATTACCCACGCGTACGAGAGAAGCGTGGCCACAGCATTGCAGTTGACTACGACACAGACACCGTTGGCCCGTACGTCCAATGATACGTGTGTTGTAACGGCGTTTGGTGAAGTGCCCTTTATTATTTAAAAGTAGAAGAAAAATGTAGTGCATCGATTACTGAAGTGTGAAAATTAAATGTATTTTGTGCAAGCGTATAACAACAAAACAACAAAATCACGTAACAACTTTTCTTTAATGAGACGAACATGGCAAACAAAATACGATGTGAGTAATACTCGTCGTGTCGTTAAGCCATAGTAGTGTTTGGTGACGATTACAGACGGCAGAATGCCGATGCGAGGGATGGGCGTGTTGCGTTTAATAAGAACGGGCGCGCGACTTTTAAAGTGAGTTAATTGGAGAGCCGCCGCCTGAACCATAAACATCGGTGATTCCACCTCGACGCAGTCGCTTCCTTCCACACGTTCGTTTCCGTTGAGATCGGCCGGCGCAAACTAAACTGCTGAAGCGGGTTAACAAAAAAGTAAGTACGTAAAATATACGGTAGGTGCCTCTAGCTATGAAACCCAACCGACCTCGCGACTACAGACGGCGCTGCAATTGCGTGCTCTTGTCAGTTCTGCCCTCAATGCTCCGTGCGGTCTGCTCGTTCGCCGTTCTTCCGAAATTGTTTTTGCTTTATGCTCCACTCGCTGGTCCTTATGCCCGCTCTTTTCTGGCTGGACATTGGTTTGCCTCTGGGTTGGATCATCGAAGTTGAGGCTCCCATATCTTCCGGGGGGGGGGTGGGGGGAAAGGAAAGAAACAGAAAACGTTGAGGTTAAAGTAACCATCCACGCGCATGTGTGTACGTATGCGTTTGCGTGCGTGTGTGTGTGTGGGGAGCGGTGGTGTAGCGCTACGAACATGGTGACCCCGGTTCGATTCACGGCCAAAACCAGTGACGATTATAAGAAACGGTCCTGGGCCTACCCTAGGTCGACTCAGCCTCAAATGAGTACCTGGTGCGGTGTGTAAACATCGCCACTGGAAAGACAAAGGCGGTCGGGCGTGGTGCTGGCCACCCACCCCGCTCGTGTACCGTGCAGGCCTTCATAGGTGCTCGCTAACAGCACTTGTCCTCAGAGTCTGTTAAAGCTATACACGGAGGATCTTTGTTGTCTTTGTTGTAGTGTAGTGTGCATCTGCAAGTCATCTCGACCAGTCAACCCATGGCACTTGGGTCTGTTCCGCGACCTCCTGCTTGCGAGCCTTGAACACTTCACGTGGCCTCAAGGTGCACCGCGCACTGGCACAAGCGACGTGGGGAGGTCACCGCAACTTAGTGGAAAACGGTGTTTTTTTGTGAATGTAGTTAGACGGCCCCCTTGCGCGAAGTCACTGGTTCGATGCATGTAGTGGAAAGAACGGTGGAAGTATCTCGAATCCGCCCCCCCCCCGACGATACCCACCCAACAGTATGAACAGATAAACCACAGTCGTTTGGCAGGTCACACGCGGTGGGGTAATGTATGGGTACTCCCTCCTATGCCAAGACATCTGGCGAGTGTATAAGAGAAGGTCAAAATACACAACCAGAGTGGTTATCTAGAGCTCCCTCCAGTGGCGGCCTTTCCGTCAGCAGTGATGTCAGCGAGCAATTGCAGGGCTGCGCCTTTATATTTTACAGCGTGCAGTGACTCAACGCACTAATGAGAGCCCCGCAAACCAGATGAGTCACGTGTGAATAAATTGCATTTGCATTGCGTGATTAGATAAAGAAAAGTCCGTTTTAGTATTCTCACCGCTCGCACAGTTTGTACCCTGTCTGACAATTGCCCCCAGAAGATGAGATCACAGAACTATTTCTGAAGTCACTTCATTGAGCGCATTAATGCACACCGAGATCGCAGAGGTCGTTTATATCCGCATGTCAAACTGAAAACACCATTCTAACCACAGCGCATGCTCAGTGGCCAGGGGCGCAGTCCGACGGTGGGAGTTGGCGGGGGGGGGGGGTGTCCTACTCGTGAAAGCTTCCCCGTGGTTATCGGTTAGATTCCAGATAGGGTCGGTAAAGTTGGCCCCCACCCTCGCTTAGTCAAGGATAAGTGGAGTTCCACCGCAACTCCAACGGCAACTCCTGGCCATGGACCCAGTACTAACCCCCGATGGTCGTGAACTCCCCCATGTATGGCAAGGTTCCATTGGATGCACAATCGGCATTTGCCTCGCTGTAACAGAAGAGTTAAAAAAGTGAAAACGCACTAAAAAAAACTGTACCGCAATTATTTTTCTAAAATGGCGCGGGAGGTCTTTTGGTTCCGTACGTATCTTAAAACGCGTCGAAGCTGCGTCATGCTGCACGCGTGGGGCCCAGCGGGGCACGGACCTCTGTTCTTGTGGCACTTGCAGCTCTCCACGCACTCCTCGGTCGTGTGGAAGTTGTTGTCGTTGCCTCCGCAGCCGCCGTAGATGAAGTTCTCGCACTGGCCCGTGGTCATGTTGTAGAAGTGACGCGGGAAGGCGGCCTTGCAGTTGCCAGTCTCCGGCTCAAAGCGGCACTTCTTGGGCACCTCTGCAGTGAGGGGAGAAGGGTGGTGGAGACACGGCGGGGAGTTTAAACACCGACGCGCAAGTGCAATGACGATGGCGGGGCGTGCAGATGAATGTCGCCGTGGGACTAACTTCTCTGGCACATGTCGTGATGGGTACTCCAAGATTGGATGTTCAGTGCTCGCCCGAGCAGCTTTGGTTTCTGGTGACCAAACGAATACATGATGAGGTCGCATTCGTTACGCACAAAGTGCTCGCCACAAAGGAACCACGATACCTTGCTGATCTCGTCAAGGAGCATAAACCATCGCGCAAACTCTGATCATCCTCGCAGCGGATTTTGGCTAACCAAGACGGTCACCGCATCACGTGCTTTCAGATGCAGCCGTCTGGAATGCTCTTTTATCCGATATTAGTAAGCCAATGGATGTATGCACTTTCAAATCTAGTTTGTAAACTAATTTCTTTAGAACTGCTTTTTCGTTTTTAGTGTGTTGTCCTACCCCCGCACATCTGATTAACACTGTTGTCTATGTATGGTGCGAAACAAGTTCAACAAACATAAATAGTGCTAGTGGCAAGCGGGCGTTCTCATCACAACCACGTGCTCAGTGGCTCATCAATTTGTGAATGTGTTTGTTCAAAATGTGTTGCATACTTCCCAACATGCAACAAACCTGAAATTTGGCATGTGTGTAGCTTGCAGACTATACACCATGCAAAAAGTATAAAAATAGACTTTTATATATTTTTTTTGGGGGGGCGCAATAATGGATATATTTGCACGGCAAGTGAGCGGTGACGTCACATCTGTGATGTCACCCGCATGCGTCAGCGTTACGCAGTGTGCCTGCTAACGTCACACACCCCCCCCCCAACCCTCCGCGTAGGCCGTGTATTAATCCAAGACAAGAATCCAAGTCTCGGGCGAAGCCGGGTAGTGAAGCTAGTATAAGATATAGTATTCTGACCCCGTGGGCCAAATTCTATGGGTTAGGAAAAAACACAATATCTCGCCCTGGCACGTGGGGCCCTTCAGCATGTGTGGCCCTCCAGCACGTGAGGCAACCAGGGGTTACGTACGTACTCTACATTGAACTTCTTTCACGCAATGCACAGCCGACCCCACTAATCGGATTGTGCGGAGGAAGCTCAACAAACTGCCTGCGCGCTCGTTTCCCTCGATAGCCGGCGGCGGTGTGGGTGTGGGCACCTACTCTGCACTGTTTTGCAGGCGATGCGGCACTCCGTTTCTGTCTCGAAGTTGTTGGCGTTGCCGTCGCAGCCGCCATAGTAGAACTTCTGGCAGCGCTGCGTGAGGCGGTTGTAGAAGTAGCGTGGGATGTGGGCCTTGCATGGCCCAATCTCTCTGTCCATTGTGCAGATGGCGCGTATGGAAAGCTCATCATCGCTCTCGTCGCCTGCACGGAGAACGGGGAGGACCCAATAACAAAAAACTATTTTGTACGCGCATGTTTACGTTCAACTTCTTTCGAAACATGCATTGCCAACCGTGATAACACTGGTCAAATAAAAAAATTCTGGCCTGGACTTTTGCAGCTGTTTTAGACTAATTTCAGGGTGTTGATTCCAAATCTGATCTCAGATTTGCTCTATCACATCATTTTTATGCTATCGGCATACCCCATTTTCATTGATTTTACCCGAAATTAACTCTGTCACTTATGATTGCAAGTTGTTGCGAGTCAGTGACTGCCTAAGTGTTAAATATGGTGTTGTATTTTTAAGATAGTGTGTTTATAATATCATTTTATGTAGATATCCACATTTATTTTATATTTTTCTTCTGCAGTTTTCATTGAAAATGCAATATTTGATATCTCAAAAATCTGATGTGATAGACAAAAACTGATGCCAGATTTGGAATCAGCACCGCAAAATGACATTAAAACCGTTGGAATACCTTATGCCAGAAAAAGTTTGTCGACCAGTGTAATCGGAGTTAAGGGCCCACTGAGCTGAATACCCCTTCAAACGTGACCTGACCGCCATAAATTAAAGTGTAAGAAAGTGGCGGCTTATCAGGTAAAAGTGTATGGCAGCCGAATGCTCTATAAATGCACGTTGATTCTAAACGTGGAGCGGAAAACCCGAAGGACCCGGAGAAAAATCCACACGACCACGGGGAGAGAAACTGCAAACTACAAATATACAGCAGGCGTCAGTGTCGGGATCGAACCCACGACCTCCTATATACCAGGTGAGCTAGCTAACATCTTGCCACCGCGGCACCACTCTAACCACTGTGGCACCCCGGGGCTTAATTCCCGTCGTAGAAATGATGGTTTATGCACCGTACATATTTGTCTCACCAATGTCGTGTTCAATCACATTTCTGGCTCAGCAATCAATGGAAGAACGTAATAAACCATTTCGGATCTTAACTGATTGTGTTCACGTTTACGGTGACTTTCAGACCGCAGTCGACTCACTGGCATTGACTTTATATCTTTTATTCTCTGCAGGGAATGGATTCTATGCTCCGCTGCAAGTCTCCTACCACCACTCTCCCATTGACATATTTCGTTGCTTCCTCTTAGTACCTTTCACGCGACGGTCAATGGTATAGTGTATAGCAGATTGTATAATAATAAATAGTATACAAGTGTAATGTTTAATATAATGTATAAGGTAATATATAGTATCGTAATTGTATAGTGAATATACAGCAGTGTGGTATACAGTAAGGTGGGTATAATAATACATAGTGTAATATTACAATGTAGAGTCTAAACATAAATAGTGCTGGTGGCAAGCGGGCGTTCTCATCAAAACCACGTGCTCAAGGGCTCATCAATTTGTGAATATGTGTTTGTTCGAAATGTTTAGCATACTTCCAAACATGCAAAAAACCTGAAATTTTGCATGTGGGTAGCTTGCAGACTGTACACCATGCTAAAGGTATAAAAATAGACTGTTATATTTGGGGGGGGGGGCGCAATAATGGATATATTTGCACGACAAGTGAGCGGTGATGTCACATCTGTGATATCACCCGCATGCTGCAGCGTTACGCAGTGTGCCTGCTGACGTCACGCATCCCACCCCCCACCCTCCACGTAGGCCATGTATTAATCCAAGACAAGAATCCAAGTCTCGGGCGAAGCCGGGTAGTAAAGCTAGTATAAGTTATAGTATTCTGACCCCGTGGGCCAAATTTTATGAATTTAGAAAAAACACAATATCTCGCCCTGGCACGTGGGGCCCTCCAGCACGTAAGGCAACCAGGAGTTACGTAAGTACTCTACAATGAACTTCTTTCACGCAATGCGCAGCCGACCCCGCTAATCGGATTGTGCGGGGGAGGCTCAACAAACTGCCCGTGGGCTCGTTTCCCTCAAAAGCCGGGGGCGGTGTGGGTGTGGGCACCTACTCTGCACTGTTTTGCAGGCGATGCGGCACTCCGCTTCTGTTTTGAAGTTGTTGGCGTTGCCGTCGCAGCCGCCATAGTAGAACTTCTGGCAGCACTGCGTGAGGCGATTGTAGAAGTAGCGTGGGATGTGGGCCTTGCAGGGCCCAATCTCTTTGTCCATCTTGCAGATGGCGGGTATGGAAAGCTCATCATCGCTCTCGTCGCCTGCAGGGAGAACGAGGAGGAACCTATAACAAAAAACTATTTTGTACGCGCATGTTTACGTTGAACTTCTTTCGAACCATGCGTTGCCAACCGTGATAATCGGAGTTAAGGGCCCACTGAGCTGAATACCTCTTCAGACGTGACCTGACCGCCATAAATTACAGCGTAACAAAGTGGCGGCTTATCACGTGGAAGTGTCTGGCAGCCGAATACTCTATAAATGCACGATGATTCTAAACGTGGAGCGGAAAACCCGGAGGACCCGGAGAAAAATCCACACGACCACGGGGAGAGAAACTGCAAACTACAAATATACAGCAGGCGTCAGGGTCGGGATCGTACCCACGACCTACTGTATCCAGGTGAGATAGATAACATCTCGCCACCGCGGCACCACTCTAACCACTGTGGCACCCCGTTGCTTAACTCCCGTCGTAGAAACGATGGTTTATGCACCGTACATATTTGTCTCACCAATGTCGTGTTCAATCACATTTCTGGCTCAGCAATCATTTGAAGGACGTAATAAACCATTTCGGATCTTAACTGATTGTGTTCACGTTTACGGTGACTTTCAGACCACAGTCAACTCACTGGCATTGACTATATATATTTTATTCTCCACAGGGAATGGATTATTTTCTCCGCTGGAAGTCTCCTACCACCACTCTCCCATTGACATATTTCGTTGCTTCCTCTTAATACATTTCACGCGACAGTCAATGGTATAGTGTATAGCAGATTGTATAATAATAAATGGTGTAAAAGTGTAATGTTTAATATAATGTATAAGGTAATATATAGCATGGTAATTGTATAGTGAATATACAGCAGTGTGGTATACAGTAGGGTGGGTAGAATAATATATAGTGTAATATTACAATGTATAGTCTAAACATAAATAGTGCTGGTGGCAAGCGGGCGTTCTCATCACAACCACGTGCTCAGGGGCTCATCAATTTGTGAATATGTGTTTGTTCGAAATGTTTAGCATACTTCCCAACATGCAACAAACCTGAAATTTTGCATGTGGGTAGCTTGCAGACTGTACACCATGCAAAAAGTATAAAAATAGACTGTTATATTTGGGGGGGGGGCGCAATAATGGATATATTTGCACGACAAGTGAGCGGTGATGTCACATCTGTGATGTCACCCGCATGCTGCAGCGTTACGCAGTGTGCCTGCTGACGTCACGCATCCCACCCCCCACCCTCCACGTAGGCCATGTATTAATCCAAGACAAGAATCCAAGTCTCGGGCGAAGCCGGGTAGTAAAGCTAGTATAAGTTATAGTATTCTGACCCCGTGGGCCAAATTTTATGAATTTAGAAAAAACACAATATCTCGCCCTGGCACGTGGGGCCCTCCAGCACGTAAGGCAACCAGGAGTTACGTAAGTACTCTACATTGAACTTCTTTCACGCAATGCGCAGCCGACGCCTCTAATCGGATTGTGCGGGGGAGGCTCAACAAACTGCCTGCGCGCTCGTTTCCCTCGATAGCCGGCGGCGGTGTGTGTGTGGGCACCTACTCTGCACTGTTTTGCAGGCGATGCGGCACTCCGTTTCTGTCTCGAAGTTGTTGGCGTTGCCGTCGCAGCCGCCATAGTAGAACTTCTGGCAGCGCTGCGTGAGGCGGTTGTAGAAGTAGCGTGGGATGTGGGCCTTGCAGGGCCCAATCTCTCTGTCCATCTTGCAGATGGCGGGTATGGAAAGCTCATCATCGCTCTCGTCGCCTGCACGGAGAACGAGGAGGAACCTATAACAAAAAACTATTTTGTACACGCCTGTTTACGTTAAACTTATTTCGAACCATGCGTTGCCAACCGTGATAATCGGAGTTAAGGGCCCACTGAGCAGAATACCTCTTCAGACGCGACCTGACCACCACAAATGATAGCGTAACAAAGTAGCGGCTTATCACGTAGAAATGTATGGCAGCCGAATGCTCTATAAATGCACGTTGATAATAAACGTGGAGCGGAAAAACCGGACAAAAATCCACACGACCACGGGGAGAGATACTTCAAACTACAAATATACAGCAGGCGTCAGGGTCAGGATCGAACCCACGACCTCCTGTATACCAGGTGAGATAGCTAACATCTCGCCACCGCGGCACCACTCTAACCACTGTGGCACCCCGGGCTTAACTCCCGTCGTAGAAACGATGGTTTATGAACCGTACATATTTGTCTCACCAATATCATGTTCAATCACATTTCTGGCTCAGCAATCATTTGAAGGACGTAATAAACCATTTCGGATCTTAACTGATTGTGTTCACGTTTACGGTGACTTTCAGACCGCAGTCAACTCACTGGCATTGACTATATATCTTTTATTCTCCACAGGGAATGGATTCTTTTCTCCGCTGGAAGTCTCCTACCACCACTCTCCCATTGACATATTTCGTTGCTTCCTCTTAATACATTTCACGCGACGGTCAATGGTATAGTGTATAGCAGATTGTATAATAATAAATAGTATACAAGTGTAATGTTTAATATAATGTATAAGGTAATATATAGTATCGTAATTGTATAGTGAATATACAGCAGTGTGGTATACAGTAGGGTGGGTAGAATAATATATAGTGTAATATTACAATGTATAGTCTAAACATAAATAGTGCTGGTGGCAAGCGGGCGTTCTCATCACAACCACGTGCTCAGGGGCTCATCAATTTGTGAATATGTGTTTGTTCGAAATGTTTAGCATACTTCCCAACATGCAACAAACCTGAAATTTTGCATGTGGGTAGCTTGCAGACTGTACACCATGCAAAAAGTATAAAAATAGACTGTTATATTTGGGGGGGGGGCGCAATAATGGATATATTTGCACGACAAGTGAGCGGTGATGTCACATCTGTGATGTCACCCGCATGCTGCAGCGTTACGCAGTGTGCCTGCTGACGTCACGCATCCCACCCGCCACCCTCCACGTAGGCCATGTATTAATCCAAGACAAGAATCCAAGTCTCGGGCGAAGCCGGGTAGTAAAGTTAGTATAAGTTATAGTATTCTGACCCCGTGGGCCAAATTCTATGAATTTAGAAAAAACACAATATCTCGCCCTGGCACGTGGGGCCCTCCAGCACGTAAGGCAACCAGGAGTTACGTAAGTACTCTACATTGAACTTCTTTCACACAATGCGCAGCCGACCCTGCTAATCGGATTGCGCGGGGGAGGCTCAACAAACTGCCTGTGGGCTCGTTTCCCTCGATAGCCGGCGGCGGTGTGGGTGTGGGCACCTACTCTGCACTGTTTTGCAGGCGATGCGGCACTCCGTTTCTGTCTCGAAGTTGTTGGCGTTGCCGTCGCAGCCGCCATAGTAGAACTTCTGGCAGCGCTGCGTGAGGTGGTTGTAGAAGTAGCGTGGGATGTGGGCCTTGCAGGGCCCAATCTCTCTGTCCATCTTGCAGATGGCGGGTATGGAAAGCTCATCATCGCTCTCGTCGCCTGCAGGGAGAACGAGGAGGAACCTATAACAAAAAACTATTTTGTACGCGCCTGTTTACGTTAAACTTCTTTCGAACCATGCGTTGCCAACCGTGATAATCGGAGTTAAGGGCCCACTGAGCAGAATACCTCTTCAGACGCGACCTGACCACCACAAATGATAGCGTAACAAAGTAGCGGCTTATCACGTAGAAATGTATGGCAGCCGAATGCTCTATAAATGCACGTTGATAATAAACGTGGAGCGGAAAAACCGGACAAAAATCCACACGACCACGGGGAGAGATACTTCAAACTACAAATATACAGCAGGCGTCAGGGTCAGGATCGAACCCACGACCTCCTGTATACCAGGTGAGATAGCTAACATCTCGCCACCGCGGCACCACTCTAACCACTGTGGCACCCCGGGCTTAACTCCCGTCGTAGAAACGATGGTTTATGAACCGTACATATTTGTCTCACCAATGTCATGTTCAATCACATTTCTGGCTCAGCAATCATTTGAAGGACGTAATAAACCATTTCGGATCTTAACTGATTGTGTTCACGTTTACGGTGACTTTCAGACCGCAGTCAACTCACTGGCATTGACTATATATCTTTTATTCTCCACAGGGAATGGATTCTTTTCTCCGCTGGAAGTCTCCTACCACCACTCTCCCATTGACATATTTCGTTGCTTCCTCTTAATACATTTCACGCGACGGTCAATGGTATTGTGTATAGCAGATTGTATAATAATAAATAGTGTAAAAGTGTAATGTTTAATATAATGTATAAGGTAATATATAGTATCGTAATTGTATAGTGAATATACAGCAGTGTGGTATACAGTAGGGTGGGTAGAATAATATATAGTGTAATATTACAATGTATAGTCTAAACATAAATAGTGCTGGTGGCAAGCGGGCGTTCTCATCACAACCACGTGCTCAGGGGCTCATCAATTTGTGAATATGTGTTTGTTCGAAATGTTTAGCATACTTCCCAACATGCAACAAACCTGAAATTTTGCATGTGGGTAGCTTGCAGAATGTACACCATGCAAAAAGTATAAAATTAGACTGTTCTATTTGGGGAGGGGGTGGGCGCAATAATGGATATATTTGCACGACAAGTGAGCGGTGACGTCACATCTGTGATGTCACCCGCATGCTGCAGCGTTACGCAGTGTGCCTGCTGACGTCACGCATCCCCCCCGCATCCTCCACGTAGGCCATGTATTAATCCAAGACAAGAATCCAAGTCTCGGGCGAAGCCGGGTAGTTAGTTATAGTATTCTGACGCCGTGGGCCAAATTCTATGAATTTAGAAAAACACAATATCTCGCCCTGGCACGTGGGGCCCTCCAGCACGTGAGGCAAACAGGGGTCATATACGTACTCTACATTGAACTTCTTTCACGCAATGCGCAGCCGACCCCGCTAATCGGATTGTGCGGGGGAAGCTCAACAAACTGCCTGCGCGCTCGTTTCCCTCGATAGACGGCGGCGGTGTGGGTGTGGGCACCTACTCTGCACTGTTTTGCAGGCGATGCGGCACTCCGTTTCTGTCTCGAAGTTGTTGGCGTTGCCGTCGCAGCCGCCAAAGTAGAACTTCTGGCAGCGCTGCGTGAGGCTGTTGTAGAAGTAGCGTGGGATGCTGGCCTTGCAGGGCCCAATCTCTCTGTCCATCGTGCAGATGTCGGGTATGGAAAGCTCATCATCGCTCTCATCGCCTGCAGGGAGAACGAGGAGGACCCTATAACAAAAAACTATTTTGTTCGCGCATGTTCACGTTGAACTTCTTTCGAACCATGCATTGCCAACCGTGATAACACTGGACAAAAAAAAAATTCTGGCCTGGACTTTTGCAGCTGTTTTAGACTAATTTCAGGGTGTTGATTCCAAATCTGATCTCAGATTTGCTCTGTCACATCATTTTTATGCTATCGGCATACCCCATTTTCATTGATTTTACCCGAAATTAACTCTGTCACTTATGATTGCAAGTTGTTGAGAGTCAGTGACTGCTTTAGTGTTAAAATATGGTGCTGTATTTTTAAGATAGTGTGTTTATAATATCATTTTATGTAGATATCCATATTTATTTCATATTTTTCTTCTGCAGTTTTTATTGAAATTGCAATATTTGATATCTCAAAAACCTGATGTGATAGACAAAAACTGATGCCAGATTTGGAATCAGCACCCCAAAATGACCTTAAACCCGTTGGAATACCTCATGCCAGAAAAAGTGTGTTGACCAGTGTAATCGGAGTTAAGGGCCCACTGAGCTGAATACCTCTTCAGACGCGACCTGACCACCACAAATGATAGCGTAACAAAGTAGCGGCTTATCACGTAGAAATGTATGGCACCCGAATGCTCTATAAATGCACGTTGATTATAAACGTGGAGCGGAAAACCCGGAGGACCCGGAGAAAAATCCACACGACCACGGGGAGAGAAACTTCAAACTACAAATATACAGCAGGCGTCAGGGTCGGGATCGAACCCACGACCTCCTGTATACCAGGTGAGATAGCTAACATCTCGCCACCGCGGCACCACTCTAACCACTGTGGCACCCCGGGGCTTAACTTCCGTCGTAGAAACGATGGTTTATGCACCGTACATATTTGTCTCACCAATGTCGTGTTCAATCACAATGCCGCAGGTGACAACAACACGCTCACCCGCCCAGCCACTCAGTCACCGATGCAGTTCAAGACGCTGCTTCTCTTTCTGCTTCTTCCCTCGCAGTGCTCGACTGTGGAATTCCCTCCTTCCACCATCGTCTCTGTTGCTGATATATATATATTAATAATGATTGGCCTTCCTCAATTGAACAAACACGTTAAACAAGTATTTATTACAATTTTGGCAAGTGCTGTCGGTTGCTGGCCGTTTTAATGTTTTAATACGTGCGGTATTCATGACATTCTTAGAGCTATCGTGAAGGCTCATCCATAAATTACATCATTGGTCAAGTTTCAATGTGGAATGACGCACAAACATGTTTCAACTAAATCGGTAGCAGTGTAACAACATATTTTCTCTCCATGTGTGTCTTTGAGTTCAACGTACGATATTTTTACTTTTAAGATCATACCCCAGTGAGAGTCGCCACATTCTCTGGATTATTGCATGTTTGTTTGTGCGACCCTATTTAAATTACATTATTGACACAAAGCACAAGTTTGGGGTGCATCTTACTCTCTGGTGCATATTATAGTAATTTGAAAGATACAATATGTATGTGCATTATTTTTTGCTAGCCTTGACCAACATTTGGCAAATTGCAACTGCGTTAAAACAGCCGTCACACAGTCAGGGCTCACGTCTCTTTTCACAATCTTTCTCTTGGCAGGAATAAAAATGTTTTGTGGGAGCCGTGCGGGAGAGGAATTTGCATGGTGGCTTTCACTGAAGCAATCGATTAATTAAAACACCAACGCGCGCCTTTAAGCAGGTTCAGTTTACACGCTAAGCAACAATACTGATAAACTGTCACATGTGAGCGTCGCAATTTAATTCAGGAATCGATTATTATTTTTCTGTTTGCCTGGTCTGTAACGTCTTGCTCGTACTGTCTTCGTCGTAGGTTTCGTTTCGTTTTGCTCCATCTCATTCACTTCCATGAGCCTCCAGATAACTTTGGCAAATCATCAGTATATTATATAAAAAAAAATGTAAAGGTGTAGCTCCGCAATTGCTTGCTCATGCCACAGCTGGCAGAAGGCCCTCCGGTTAGAGGGAGCTCTAGAGCAGGGGTGGGCAAACTTTTTCACTCGCGGGACACAATGGGTTCTAAATTTGACAGAGGGGCCAGGCCAGGAACAGATGGATGGAGTGTTTGTGTGAACTAATATAAATGACATGTAAAAATCATTACATGAAAGGATTTGGCCTTTAACAGGTAGCAAAGTATGTATTTGCAAGGCAATTTAACAAATTGCACGAACATGAACAATACAAAAACATGTCGTAACGTGACTGATCAAACATCATGAAAACCTCTGAGGCCTGCGCCCAAACCAATTACCTCACTTTAACTTCTTTATTATCTACATTAACAGGTTAGAGCAGCCACGCAGGCTGTGTGTCAGAGATTTGGCTCCAACCTCGCTGCAACAACACATCATCACTTTCAGTTTCAGTGGGAACAGTGTTGTTGATCTCCCATTTTTGCCAGTGCATCCAAGTCTGGAATTATTTTGGTTGTGGCAATTATCAGGATATATCTGAGGTACTGATCCGTTAACTTTGATCTGTGACGGGCTTTGTTGGCGTTCATGACGCTGAATGTCTGCTCACACACATAAGTCGAGCCAAACATAGTCAGTATCTTCTGTGCAGTCCTCCGGAGGTTTGGAAACGTGGCTCTGTTAAGTGAAGCATAAAAGTCATTCAGTTTAACAGAGTTGAACTTCTCTTTTAGGATGGAGTCAGACTGAAGATCTATCAGTTCCAACTGCAGCTCCTGTGGTGCTGTTTCAGGGTCTTGTGACAGGGGACAGGACACCAGCTGAAATGACTGTTCAATGTTTTCAAAATCAGAGAACCTACGGCAGAATTCTCCGTGCAGGTCCTCAAGTGATTTGCTGTATTTTTTTGCGTTTCGCGGTGCCTCTTCCTGCATGGCAAGTGTGGGGAAATGAGCGAAAGATTTTTTCGCAATTTGTCCGGAGAACAAAGTGAGCTTGGATTTGAAGGCTTTCACATGTTTGTACATGTCGTGAACAAACTGATCTTTCCGCTGCAGTTTCACATTCAGCTCATTCATGTGTGAAAATATGTCCACAGCAATCGCAAATTCACTAAGCCAGTTCTTCATAATCAACGATTTTTGGGTTTAGATCGCGTTTATTTATAAATGTGTCGTAACCCTCCACCACCCGACACGGCCAATCAGTAAAAATGTGTCACGTTGACAAAGACAAATAGTTCACTGCTTTAGCCCACCGGTGTGTTGAAGCAACAACATTTACAATTTGAGTACGACGTTTCGCTGGTAATTGCAACCAGCATCATCGGGCAATTCGCCAGAATGGTGAGGCTCTCCTGTGTCTCCCGTTCTTATATAGAGCAGCAGCAGGGTGACGTCATCATTAACTCGTTAACTCATCAGGTGCAAAGATTCAAGGGGGGAGTGATTGTAATTATATACTAGATTAGTAATCAGGCTATTGTTACGATGCGAGTTGTAGATTAGTAATCATTTGGAATGTGTTTTTATTGTGATTATGCTACATTAGTAATCAGTTAGTGGTTGTTTCCCTTATAAGTAATTGTAATGTATCTTATTTAATAATACGCTTCCAGGCCGCACTAAGCCTGTAGCTGTCTGAGCGATTAAAGTTATTTCTGTTTCTCTCAATTTCAATCGATTCTCTAATTAGTCTTTGCCAGTAGTAACTAGTTACTACTGGCAAAGACTAGTAACTAGTTACTACTGGCAAAGACTAATTAGAGAATCGATTGAAATTGAGAGAAACAGAAATAACTTTAATCGCTCAGACAGCTACAGGCTTAGTGCGGCCTGGAAGCGTATTATTAAATAAGATACATTACAATTACTTATAAGGGAAACAACCACTAACTGATTACTAATGTAGCATAATCACAATAAAAACACATTCCAAATGATTACTAATCTACAACTCGCATCGTAACAATAGCCTGATTACTAATCTAGTATATAATTACAATCACTCCCCCCTTGAATCTTTGCACCTGATGAGTTAACGAGTTAATGATGACGTCACCCTGCTGCTGCTCTATATAAGAACGGGAGACACAGGAGAGCCTCACCATTCTGGCGAATTGCCCGATGATGCTGGTTGCAATTACCAGCGAAACGTCGTACTCAAATTGTAAATGTTGTTGCTTCAACACACCGGTGGGCTAAAGCAGTGAACTATTTGTCTTTGTCAACGTGACACATTTTTACTGATTGGCCGTGTCGGGTGGTGGAGGGTTACGACACATTTATAAATGAACGCGATCTAAACCCAAAAATCGTTGATTATGAATAACATTGGTCGCGAAAGCCTACGTGTTAAGCCAGTTCTTGTCGCTTAGCTCAGGGAATTCATCAGATTTCCCCATCAACTCCAAAAATCCGATGATGTCCTCTTTCAGCTCCCACACTCGTTGTAACACTTTCCCCAAACTTAACCAGCGGACACGAGAGTGGTACAGCAAGTCCTGATGATCCGCATCAGTTTCCTCCAGGAACGTAATAAACTGACGGTGCTGAAGTCCCCTTACTCGTATAAAGTTCACAAGTTTTACGACTGGATTCACGACATGATTAAGCTGCAATACAGACTTACACAGGGATTCCTGATGGATGATGCAGTGAAGGAAAATAAGATCCTGGACAGGGTTTTCCTCTTTCAATTTATCCTGGATTCTTTTCAGCAGCCCAACATTTTTTCCAGTTAAATTTGGCGATCCATCCGTTGTGACATTGACAAGTTTACTCCAAGGTAGCTTCATTCTTTCAATGATAGCAGATACCTGGTTATACAGGTCCTCTACCCACGTTGTTCCTTTTAGGGACTCCATGGTCAAAAACTCCTCTGTTATCGCAAAACTGTCGTCAATGCCTCGGATAAAAATGAGGAGCTGAGCAGTGTCTTTTACGTTCGTACTTTCATCCATTGCTAGTGAATATAATTCAAAGGAATCAGACTTTTTGTTTATTTGACTGGCTATATTTTCATCAATCAGTTCCACACGGCTAGTCACAGTCCTGCGTGATAAACTGACTTTTTCAAATTTGCTTTTGATCTCCGGACACAAGATGTCTGCTGTCTGTACCATGCATTCTTTTACAAACTCGCCTTCGGAGAAAGGCTTGCTAGCCTTTGCTATTTCGAATGCCACCAAAAAACTTGCCTTGGTAGTTGCTGAGTCTGTAAATTAGCCGCCAACCTCTGAGCCGTAGCCGCCCGTTCTTTCGTTGACTACTTGCTAGCGTAGTTAGCATGCTTCGTAGCAAAGTGACGGCTGATGTTGTACTCCTTGAAAACTGCGATATTTTCTCGGCATATCAGGCATACAGCCTTCGATTGGACTTCGGTGAAAAAGTATTATCAGAGTTGCTTCTTTTTGTTTGCTTTTTTGACTACTTGTGTTGTGGTTATTGCAAACATGATGCCTTGAATAAAGGTGTCAGTTTTTGTACCAGTTTAAAAGGGTAAAAACCTACTACTATATTTTTCCACTGGTAAAAGAGATCTCATAGTGTAAATGCTTACCCCGAGCTCTCAAGACTCTGATATTGCACTGTGTTTGAGTTGTACGCCTTCTGGTGTCATCTGGTCCAACACCAATGGGGACTAGGCTCTAAAAAAGAGCCGTCTCGGGTGTGGACCAATCAACTTCAAGGACAGTGCATATTATTATCATTATCAGAGTTGCTTCTTTTTGTTTGCTTTTTTGACTACTTGTGTTGTGGTTATTGCAAACATGATGCCTTGAATAAAGGTGTCAGTTTTTGTACCAGTTTAAAAGGGTAAAAACCTACTACTATATTTTGCCAGTGGTAAAAGAGATCTCATAGTGTAAATCATGTGCCCTTTCGAGCCCGAAACACCACGCTCACGGTCAAAGTGCGCCCTCTAATGGGAAAATGGGGGCATTACAGGAGGAAGGTAAAATGTAATTTAATAATAATAATATTTGGACAAGTTCAGCGGGCCGGATTGAAAAGCCCAACGGGCCGTATACGGCCCGCGGGCCGTGCTTTGCCCATGTCTGCTCTAGAGAGTCCTTCTAGACCAGAGGTGGGCAATGAAAATTCGGTAAAGAAAACCCTCGATATTTCAAGAGCCGCAACGCGACGTGAATACAAGACGATGGGGTCCTTAATAAACAACGTCACGACGCAGTCCTCAAAGAGCCGCATTCGTCTCCGGAGCCGCAGGGTGCAGACCCCTGTCCTAGACGGTATATGGGCCTACTCTTCCACGCTGGCCAGATGCCGTGGAAGATGCGGTAGTATTCGCAATTTCCCCCATCCACACGCGACCTGTTTTTTCCCGCTGGGTAAACAAGAGATGGGGATTTTGAGGAAACTTGCACCGTTGTTTCAACTGCTGCGCCGGAAGTTCAAATGGAAAAAGGCGATCTCTGCATTGCACGTCCAGTGTGCTGACTATTACACCATCCATATAATTTATATCAATCATAAATGGTCGCACGGGATTTTAACCAGCGAAAGAAAGCATTACATTCCTTCCGAATAGTGTCCCAACCGCAGCTGGTGACAATTCATTGGCGTGAATGCAGCCACTAAAATTATCTGGTAGACCCAGGGGAAGCAATTCGACCACTTTTCTCTCAGGGTACGACATCAATTGCATCTGGCAAAACGTCAAAAACAGCTAATCTGAACGCACGTTGATTATAAATGTGGAGGGAAAATTGGAGGACCCGGACAAAATCCACGCGACCACGGGGAGAGAGAGACACGCAAACTCCAAATATATAACAGGCGTCAGGGTCGAGATCGAACCCATCACCCTCCTGCATGCCAGGTGTGGCAATAAACATCTCACCACCGCGGCACCATTCCTTGCACCGAGGATTTGATTCCTTGCACCCGAAGGAACTTCGCAATGACACATACGGGGCTTGATTTCTCACGGAATATTTTCATATATTTTAAGGACCCACAAAACCCCCTCCTCCCCCTACCTTGTACCACCCCCACCACCCTGAGGAAGAGGTGGGGCCTCAGGAAGCAGGGAAATATTTTCTGTAACCCAGCCCAGGACGGCTCTGGCCGAAATTAAGCCGCCCCGGGCACGCCTACGTTCAACCACGTGCCCCTACAAACTCGATCAGCATGTGGTTAGTACGGAACATTAAGACATGACAGGCAAGGTTTCGGGTATTTTTCTTTCCATTCAAGCAGTAACAGTGCCATACTCTTTGGTTTTTTCGGTAAAGTCACGAAAGAACCAAAGAGTTTGGATTCCTGCAGTCACAAAAGCTTCAAATCAAGATAGTAACAGTGCCAACCTAAGCAACTGACCTTTTGGCTTATGAGAAGAAAAAGGGGGGGGGGGGGCAGAGGGCGATGGGGAAGAAAAAAACATCAGAATCAGAATATTTAGTTAGACTGGAGAAGTACAATGAGCTATGAAGCTCTTCTTCACAGACGCCCAGTAAAAGGGCCGCTGCAGCGTTGTCCGAATGAGAAAGACCGATTTATTCTGAGCAATACATCGGTGTCTATTGATCCCACCACACCTCTTCAGCGGAAGAGTAGAGAGAATACAAAGTAAAATAATCGATTTCACGTGGCCTCGTCGTCAACATCAAGAGGTCATCGTGGCCAAAGCCATCGATGCCACCACCACCGCTACCGCACCTCATCGCCAGCACCTTCCACCCTCCACCTGATCCCACAGCTGATGCACAGTCGACACGTGACCTCCAATATCTGCCCTGACAGTAGAAAAATTAAAACCTAAAATACTTTTTTCATGTTACCAGGTAAGGCCCACTGAGCTCTAAAGCTATTTTTAAGAATTCTAGATTTGAAGCTTTCGTGACTGCAAGGATTCATATTCTTGGGGTTTTTTTCGGTAAAGTCACGTAGGTAAAAAAATAAAATTAAAATTAATAAAAGTAAAATAAAAATAAAATAAAAATCACGACGTTTCGGAGGCAACACAAGCTTCCGTCTTCAGGTGGAACCGTCACAGCACGCTTGCTGTATCAAGTAAATGAGAAATTTCAAGAGATCCGACCTTGTATATATACTGGTTGAGGGGAAAGGAGCCAGGGTAGGCCCCTGGATAGGAGTTATTTTTTATTTTTAAGAAGTGACCTGGCCGCCACAAATGATAGCTCAACGAATTGGCTTATCGCACGGAAATGTATAGCAACCAAATACTCTAAATGCGTGATGTCGATTCAAAATGTGGAGGGAAAATTGGAGGAGCCGGAAAAATATCCACACGACCACAGGGAGAGAGACACTCAAACTCCAAATATATACGGCAGGCGTCAGTGTCGGGATCAAACCCACGATCTCCTGCATACCAAGCGAGGGACTTACATCTCGCCACCGCGGGCCCCCCCCCTTCCCCGTGCCATGTGCTCTTTGGTTTTTCCCTCGGTCGCCGCACTCACGTGGTGGAGACCAACCCTCCACGCACGTCCCACCGAGTGCATCTGCTTTTGTCTCACGGCATTGTAAAAGCATCAATGAACACACAAGCTCGTATCACATGTCACCTCCCCGCCCCCCGCCGTGTGACGATGATAAACCTCGCACGCCCGCAGTGTGCACAAATGCGATAGATTCCAGATAGGGTCGGTAAAGTTGGCCCCCACCCTCGCTTCGTCAAGGACAAGTGGAGTTCCACCGCAACTCCAACGGCAACACCTGGCCATTGACTCAGTAATAACCCCCACTGGTCGTGGACTCCCCCGTGTATGGAAAGGTTCCATCGGTAGCACAATCGGCATTTGCCTCGCTGTAACAGAAGAGTTAAAAAATGAAAACGCACTCAAAAAAATAGTACCGCATTTTTTTTCTATAATGGCGCGGGGCGTCTCTTTGTTCCGTACGTATCTTAAAACGCGTCAAAGCTCTGTCAGGCCGCACGTGTGGGGCCCAGCGGGGCACGGACCTCTGGTCTTGTGGCACTTGCAGCTCTCCACGCACTCCTCGGTCGTGTGGAAGTTGTTGTCGTTGCCTCCGCAGCCGCCGTAGATGAAGATCTCGCATTGGCCCGTGGTCATGTTGTAGAAGTGACGCGGGATGGCGGCCTTGCAGTTGCCAGTCTCCGGCTCAAAGCGGCACTTCTTGGGCACCTCTGCAGTGGGGGGAGGGGGAGGGGTGGTGGAGACACGGCGGGGAGTTTAAACACCGACGTGCAAGGGCAATGACGATGGCGGGGCGTGCAGATGAATGTCGCAGTGGGACTAACTTCTATGGCACATGTCGTGATGGGTACTTCAAGATTGGATGTTCAGTGCTCACCCGAGCTGCTTTGGTTTCTGGTGGCCAAACGAATACATGATGAGGTCGCACTCTTTACGCACAAATTGCTCGCCACAAAGGAACCACGAAACCTTGCTGATCTCGTCAAGGAGCATAAACCATCGTGCAAACTCCGACCATCCTCGCAGCGGATTTTGGCTAACCAAGACGGTCACCGCATCACGCGCTTTCAGATGCAGCCGTCTGGAATGCTCTTCCGTCCGCTATTAGTAAGCCAAAGGACGTATGGACTTTCAAATCTAGTTTCTAAACTAATTTCTTTATAACTGCTTTTTGTGTTTAGTGTGTTGTCCTTCCCCCGCACCTCTGATTAACACTGTTGTCTACGTAAGGTGCGAAACAAGTTCAACAAACATAAATAGTGCTGGTGGCAAGCGGGCGTTCTCTTCACAACCACGTGCTCAGTGGCTCATCAATTTGTGAATATGTGTTTGTTCAAAATGTGTTGCATACTTCTCAACATGCAACAAACCTGAAATTTGGCATGTGGGTAGCTTGCAGACTATACACCATGCAAAAAGTATAAAAATAAACTTTTATATATTTTTTTTTGGGGGGGGGGCGCAATAATGGATATATTTGCATGGCAAGTGAGCGGTGACGTCACATCTGTGATGTCACCCGCATGCGGCAGCGTTACGCAGTGTGCCTGCTAACGTCACGCATCACCCCCCCCCACCCTCCGTGTAGGCCGTGTATTACTCCAAGACCAGAATCCAAGTCTCGGGCGAAGCCGGGTAGTAAAGCTAGTATAAGATATAGTATTCTGACCCCGTGGGCCAAATTCTATGGGTTAGGAAAAAACACAATATCTCGCCCTGGCACGTGGGGCCCTTCGGCATGTGTGGCCCTCCAGCACGTGAGGCAACCAGGGGTTATGTACGTACTCTACATTGAACTTCTTTCACGCCATGCGCAGCCGACCCCGCTAATCGGATTGTGCGGGGGAAGCTCAACAAACTGCCTGCGCGCTCGTTTCCCTCGATAGCCAGCGGCGGTGTGGGTGTGGGCACCTACTCTGCACTGTTTTGCAGGCGATGCGGCACTCCGTTTCTGTCTTGAAGTTGTTGGCGTTGCCGTGGCAGCCGCCAAAGTTGAACTTCTGGCAGCGCTGCGTGTAGCGGTTGTAGAAGTAGCGCGGGATGATGGCCTGGCAGGGCCCAATCTCTCTGTCCATCGTGCAGATGGCGCGTATGGAAAGCTCATCATCGCTCTCGTCGCCTGCAGGGAGAACGGGGAGGACCCAATAACAAAAAAACTATTTTGTTTGCGCATGTTTACGTTGAACTTCTTTCGTACCATGTGTAGTATGGTTCCCGGGAGACTTGACACGTAGTTGGAGGCACACGCTTATTTATTAACACCAGCACGTAACTCGGAAGCTTACAGTAACTGAAGGGGTATCGGCCCCTTCACCCGTCTAGCTACGGAACACAACAGCCTAGCTCACAGCTAGCTTACACCTAGGTTACGGCACCCCGAATACCCAGACCCGCTCTTAGAAGAGCGTCGGTTCTGGGCTCTGGGGGCCACGCCGCTGGCTTGCCTGGTCGGTCCTTAAAAGGACAGCGATCCCAGGGAGTTCCAGGGTCGGTCTAGCTGGTCTTCTTTCTTCACTGGTTACAGCTTAACACTAGACCCAGAACCCTTCGGCTCACCGCCTTAAATAGCCATCTCACCCCTGAGGGGAGGGGCTGTGGGGGATCGAAGCGTACGGCGAGGACGTCGCTGCGAGCACCTGCCCCGCGTACCGACGTAGCCACGCCCATTGTGTTTGTTTGCCATCCGCGGCAAGTCTAAATCCGGCCGTCCACAACGGCTCTACACATGCATTGCCAACCGTGATAACACTGGTCAACAAAAAAATCTGGCCTGGACTTTTGCAGCTGTTTTAGACTAATTTCAGGGTGCTGATTCCAAATCTGATCTCAGATTTGCTCTATCACATTTCATTTTTATGCTATCGGCATACCCCATTTTCATTGATTTTACCCGAAATTAACTCTTTCACTTATGATTGCAAGTTGTTTCGAGTCAGTGACTGCTTTAGTGTTAAAATATGGTGCTGTATATTTAGGATAGTGTGTTTATAATTTCATTTTATGTAGATATCCAGATTTATTTAATATTTTTCTTCTGCAGTTTTGATTGAAAATTCAATATTTGATATTTCAAAAACCTGATGTGATGTACAAAAACTGATGCCAGATTTGGAATCAGCACCCCAAAATTACCTTAAAACCGTTGGAATACCTTATGCCAGAAAAAGTGTGTTGACCAGTGTAATCGGAGTTAAGGGCCCACTGAGCTGAATACCTCTTCAGACGCGACCTGACTGCCACAAATTATAGCGTAACGAAGTGGCGGCTTATAACGTAGAAGTGCATGGCAGCCGAATGCTCTATAAATGCACGTTGATTCTAAACGTGGAGCGGAAAACCCGGAGGACCCGGAGAAAAATCCACACGACCACGGGGAGAGAAACTGCAAATATACAGCAGGCGTCAGGGTCGGAATCGGGTTCGAACTCACGACCTCCTGCATACCAGGTGAGCTAGCTAACATCTCGCCACCGCGGCACCATTCTAACCACTGTGGCACCCCGGGGCTTAACTCCCGTCGTAGAAACGATGGTTTATGCACCGTACATATTTGTCTCACCAATGTCGTGTTCAATCACAATGCCGCAGGTGACAACAACACGCTCACCCGCCCAGCCACTCAGTCACTCATGCAAGTCAAGACGCTGCTTCTCTTTCTGCTTCTTCCCTCGCAGTGCTCGACTGTGGAATTCCCTCCTTCCACCATCGTCTCTGTTGCTGATATATATTTTAATAATGATTGGCCTTGCTCGATTGAACAAACACGTTAAACAAGTTTTTATTACAATTTTGGCAAGTGCTGTTGGTTGCTAGCCGTTTTAATGTTTTGGGTCAATGCTCAGCCTCTGTGTTGAAAAAATGTGTGCGGTATTTATGGTATTCTTAGAGCTATCGTGAAGGCTCATCCATAAAACACATTCCTGCGGAGGGAGCTGGTAGGAACGTTGGGTTGCTCGATCAATGGCCAGGGTCAATGGCGGCGCGGTGTATTCCGCAAATATGCCCGACTGAGGGCGGGCACAAGCCGGCGTGAGTAGGTTAAACGTTGAATTTTATAAGGGCACCACGGGGTGAGCAGCCCCTCCCCACCCAGCCCCACCCCTCCCACCCCCCACCCAGCCCCCCCCCACCAAGCCCCTCCCCACCCTCCCCTCCCCACCCAGCCCCTCCCCACCCAGCCCCACCCTCCCCACCCAGCCCCTCCCCACCCTCCCCTCCCCACCCCCTCCCCACCCTCCCCTCCCCACCCAGCCCCTCCCTGCACGACGGACACAATAATGCCCTGTGGGCTGGTGTAACCAGGAGGTTCCTACCAGTATTACTTCATTGGTCAAGTTCATTGTGGAATGACGCACAAACATGTTTCAACTAATTCGGTAGCAGTGTAAGAACATATTTTCTCTCCATGTGTGTCTTTGAGTTCAACGTACGATATTTTTACTTTTAAGATCATACCCCAGTGAGAGTCGCCGCATTCTCTGGATTATTGCATGTTTGTTTGTGCGACCCTATTTAAATTACATTATTGACACAGAGCACAAGTTTGGGGTGCATCTTACTCTCTGGTGCATATTATAGTAATTTGAAGGATACAATATGTACGTGCATTCTTTTTGCTAGCCTTAACAAACATTTGGCAAATTGCAACCGTGCATTTTTAATCGAAACAAGAGGTAAAACAAATTTTGTATCAACTTCTCATCTGACAAATGTAATTTATTGTTTTCTCCCCAGACTCAGAGCTTGCGCGCCACGCTTTCGGGGGTTATAATGTTTACCGCTGGATATATTTATGTACACCGACATAATAAATATCGCTGTGCCCTATTTAAAAGCGTGTAATTTAATACTGCTGCTTCATACAAAAAAAAAACTCCCGATAGCTTTCATGTAATATCTTTACAAAAAGAATAAAAACACCATCACAATATAAATGGTGTAACATTGTTATATTCATTAATAAATTAGCTCAGTTATTTGTTTGCATGTAACTATCGCAATATGCGACTGCGCGTTGCTTAATGTCCCAAAACGCAAATGGCTAATGATGAAGCAAACTCATGCTTCATTGATTTCACCCTGTCATGCATGTATTATTATTATTAGAGTAAAAAAAACCCTCGCCGTTATTATTGTTGTAGTAATGTGATTTTTCGTCAAAGGAACACAGTTAGCGAGTTTATTTCGGTTGACGCGTATTTGTGAGCCAAGAGGTTTCAATGACGAAATCCCCGAATAGCGTCTCAAGGGCTTGCGAACAAAGTTCGTTCGTGTTCATCACGATGGACAGTCAGCTTCCCAGTTTAACACGGAGGCTTTCGCGACCAATATCGTCCATGATAGAGTTTATTTGGGTGAGATCGCTTAAATATATGTGTCGTTAAACCCCGCCACCACCACCCGACAAACCAACTAGTAAGGGTTTATATTCTTGGTTTTTTTCCGGTAAAGTCACGTAGGTAAAACATTTAAACTAAAATTAATAAAAGTAAAATAAAAATCACGACGTTTCGGAGGCAACACAAGCTTCCGTCTTCAGGTGGAACCGTCACAGCACGATAGCTGTATCAAGTAAGGGTTGTCACGTAATCAGAACGTGGCCAATTCGTCACCCATTTATCGGCACACATTTATCTATTTATGAGATCCAACCCCCCACCCCAAAAAAAAAAAACCTCTATCACGTGTGAGCTTTCCCACCAGCCGGTGCCAAATCTCACCGCCACAGAGCGTACCTGCCCGGAGTAACCCGGCCGTCCACCGACGTCCCATAGAGAGGAGGGTGGCAGCGTGCGCCGGAGAGAGGAGGGGGGGGGGGGGGGCTCCGACGCACGGCTCACCGTGGCCGAAACGCCAAGAGGTCCCAGCGGCACGCCTCGCGAGACGTGGCGGGCAAGGGTTCATTCCAAACACGAGCGCGCCACTTATAGCGTTCATGCGCAGCCTTGCCCGCATTCACCATTGCCTTAACCGCAGGTCTTGATATTGGGGAATTCGCAGGGTTAAAGAAGTAATAACTGACGGTCCCTTTATCAATCCACTGTGGGACGAAGGTCTCCCCAATACACGTGTGTCGTGCGGATTCGTTCGACTATGCTGCACCACGGTGTGGTGAGAGTAGCTACCCGTCGGAGGCCGTTGACTGCGAGAAGGGCTGGGTGCAGATGCGGCACTTGTCGTAGTAAAAATAAAAAATATTTATAATACTAATATTACAAATATTACAAAAAAATACATAGGGGGAACATAGACATGGAGTAGGGAGAGAGGGGGTATAGAGAGAGGGGGTATAGAGAGAGGGGGTAGAGAGAGAGGGGGGTAGAGAAAGAGGGGGGTAGAGAGAGGGGGTAGAGAAAGGGGGTAGAGAGAGCAGGTAGAGAGAGAGGGGGGTAGAAAGAGGGGGTAGAGAGAGGGGGTAGAGAGAGGGGGTAGAGAGAGCAGGTAGAGAGAGCAGGTAGAGAGAGAGGGGGTAGAAAAAGGGGGTAGAGAGAGGGGTGCTAGAGAGAGAGGGGGTAGAGAGAGAGGGGGGGTATAGACAGAGGGGGGTAGAGAGAGAGAGAGTGGGGTAGAGAGAGAGGGGGTATAGAGAGAGGGGGTAGAGAGAGAGGGGGGTAGAGAGAGAGGTGGGTAGAGAGAGAGGTGGGTAGAGAGAGGAGGGTAGAGAAAGGGGGTAGAGAGAGAGGGGGGTAGAGAGAGGGGGTAGAGAGAGGGGGTAGAGAGAGGGGGTATAGAGAGAGGGGGTAGAGAGAGAGGGGGTAGAGAGAGAGGGGGTAGAGAGAGAGGTGGGTAGAGAGAGAGGGGGGTAGAGAGAGGGGGTAGAGAGAGGGAGCTAGAGAGAGGGGGTAGAGAGAGGGGGTAGAGAGAGAGGGGTAGAGAGAGAGGGGGTAGAGAGAGAGGGGGGTAGAGAGAGAGGGGGGTAGAAAGAGGGGGTAGAGAGAGAGGGAAGGGGTAAGGAGAGCAGAGCGTGATTTCTTTCGTGACATTTTTCATTAAAAAAGGGGGGGGGGGGGGTTTACATAAAGCCAAGCATTAAAAAAAAAACGAAATGATGAACGAAGCAAAATGCCGACTACACCGAGCATCTTCTAGTTTCCTCTGATCGTAAAAGGAAAAAAAGAGAGCAGCGGGCTTGGTGAAGCTATGGAGGGGGGTGGGGCAGGAGAGGTTCACACATCATTCGCTACCGCCTGTCTTTGCCTTGTGAGGCAGTTGATCTCAGGTCACTCGGTTCGTAGTGCAGTGCACCAGCCGCTGCATGAACGCTCCCTCCACTGACTTTATACCCTTGACAAAACCAAGGACACTTCAACAATGTCGACGTAACCTTCCACGTCTGCATGCTCGTATCTCATAAATAGTTGTCGTTGTTTTATAATGTACTTGTACTGGCCCGGAGGAGTGGAGGTTTTTTGTTCTTCATTTATTCTTCACGAATGTTTCAGCATTTTTCACGAACAAACGTGTGCGCGGGCGAACGAAAACAATGTTATTGTCATCATCATAATAATAATAGAGCAACTTTTTCAATAAGACAAACATTTGATAAGGAGTGTCATTTATCCTTCGCTCATGTTTTACATTTTTCACGAACAAACGTGTGCGTGGACAAACGAAAGCAATATATTGCCATCATCATCATCATAATAATGATAGAGCAACTTTTTCAATAAAAAAACATTTGATGAGTGTAATTTATCCTTCGCTCATGTTTTGCATTTTTCACGAACAAACGTGTGCGTGGACAAACGAAAGCAATATATTGCCATCATCATCATAATAATGATAGAGCAACTTTTTCCATAAAACAAACATTTGATAAGGAGTGGCATTTATCCTTCGCTCATGTTTTACATTTTTCACATACAAACGTGTTTTACCGTCACCATCATAATAACGATAGAGCGACTTTTCGCAAAGAAAAACTAAAATTTGATAAGGGGTGTGTCACACTTGTTCCACAACACTCCACAACACCGACATGCCCTTGGAAGGGTCGAGGGGTGCAAGATAAACTCTTAAGCGCAGCGTGACATTTTAAATAACCTTGTTTTTCTGCTCAGATTATAGTGACATTGTTTTTCACTGCCGTTTTCCCTCTTAAATCTACACCGTCCGTTTAACAGGTCGCTTTAGCGCACTCTCCACCGTGTACAGCAAACAAATTCAGTTGGACGGTTAACTCAAATGGCTTATAACTACGCCATTAAATATTCTTATTTTTAAAACATTACGTAACGTGATTTAAAGCTTTCGTGACTGCAGGGATTCATAGTCTTGGTTCTTTCGGTAAAGTCACGTAGAAGGGAAATAATAATATTTCGTAACGTGTTGTCACAAACTCAGCGCTTTTTTTTATTAGGTCGGTGAATCCGATCACCCTCATGTTTTATTGGCGAAGCTAAAATGTCAAATACATAACTAGGTGGAGTGTGAAACATGGCTAAGGGGCGATTAAACATTCACGTAAGATAACCACCAGGCAGCTTTTTGTGGTTGTCCTGGCAAAGGTCTCACACGTGTTTCCAGTTTAGGCCCCGTGCTGTTCAGTGTGATGTCCGACGTTTTTGCTCCATATGCTGGGAGCTTCTTCAGCAACTGATTGGGCATAGTTTCATGTTCTCCCTCGATTATATTAAGGTGCATCACCCTGACATGCTAAATAAATAAATAATACATCTTTCCCAAATGTGTCCCTCCACAAAAAAGTTAATTTTGTATTTTTCCTGCATCTCATTGGTTGCACGGCCTTCTTAACAGCAGCACTGTTCGATACAAGCAAACTCTGGAGCAGTTTTGATATTCAGCGTCTCACCAGCAGAGTCATGATTGCTCAAACCAATACTGGTGAACTGCTGAAACTTGTAAAGGCAAGGGACCCCTACAAGAGAGCCCTCTCCGGTATCACAACATATGCACACGCGACCAGCTCCGTATGCCACACGTGTGACGAAGCTAACGGTGAACTTTGGCCGGTCGACACCAAACATCATCAGCAGCAGCAGCAGCAGAACGGCGACTACGAAGCTGAGAGAGACCGCGCGCGCGTGAGCGGCTCCGTGAGTTCTTGTAGAAGAAGCTCGCGGGACGCGGATTGAAACTTCGGTGCCCGAATCGCCACGCGGTGCAAGCCGGAGAGAACAAGTATAAGCAGTAAAAACAGTTTTTCACTATAAATCCTTTATATGCGTGGCGGCTAGAGTCCTCTCGTCCTCTGGCTTGAGATGGCTGCCACCTATGGGTCAGATGATTGTCTGCCAGTATTAAGCAATTGGTAATTAAATATTTAATTTGTTTTCCCTAAACAGTGTAAAATTTTGGAAAAAAATTTTCACGAACATTAATTGTCTGGCACAACGAGTCTGTGTGCAAAATGTCAGCTCGATTGGATCACGGGAAGTGGGTTAAAAAACGACCGAAAGATTTGCACGGTCGTAAGCAAGCAAGCAAGCACGCAAGCACGCAAGCAAGCAAGCGAACTTAATATAAAGGATTAAAAAAAAAACACACGGGAGAAATACGCCATTTTTTAATTCACAATGCAGAACTTTAAACCATTGCAAACATTCTCTCTCTTCTCTCCCTCCCGAGAAGCCCCGGTCACGATGTATTTCAGAATGCAAGATGAATTACGCCCACGCACAAAAAAATACACAATTCACCGGGTCCCCGATTGCACGTGAGGTTTTTGAACAATTAATAATGAGACCGGCGGGTATTAAAATTGCATTACCTGTCATCCCGATAAGTTGTGTGTATTTTTAAATCACCACGAGCACAATCGTTAAAATCAGTGCGTAACTATACTCTTCGGTTGTTTTGGCAAAGTCACGTAGGTATAAAATAAAACAAAATAAATTAAATCACGACGTTTCAGCAATTGTGTCTTGCTGTGGTTGTCCCACCTGATGACGGACGCTTGTGTTGCGCCCGAAACGTCGTGATTTAATGTATTTTATTTTATATCTACGTGACTTTACCGAAAGAACCAAAGAGTATGGATGCCTGCAGTCACGAAAACTTAAAATCCAGATTCCTTAGAGCCTAGTCTCACATGGGTTGGACCAGAGGAAAACGGTCTCGGGTGTGGACCAATCAACTTCAAGGACAGCTATATTTGATCATAGTTATGTTTTTGTTTGCATTATGGCTGCAGGTATTGTGGTCTATGCAAACATGACTTCTTGTAAAAAAACTGTCAGTTTTGTTGCCAGATAGAAGGGTAAAAAAACAATTATCAGTTATAATTGTCTTAAAACTGCATATATTCCCTAATTCACGTGTTCCTATTTCTGTCTCTCAATATAATTCTAAATGTGTATCTCCATGCATCCATACGTAGATTTAAGTTTTTGTAAATGTTGTGTTTGCTACTGATCATGTTACAAACCACATTTGTGATTCATGTCATCATAATAGCATTGCAAAGTATATGGAGTTATTGGAAAGTGTTTAATCATTAATATTGGTATATTGCATTCCACGACCTAATTGAGTTTAAATTTCGATTTCTCGACAGACCTGTTTCTTCACCTGAGGACGGCTGCTTGCGTTGTGGCCGAATCGTCGTGAGAATTATTTTATTATGTTATATTTTTATTATTTTATTACTTCCCTTCTACGTGACTTTACCGAAAGAACCAAGAGTATGTGGCCGCTATAAATTTCCACGTGATAAGCTACTTCATTTAACTATCAGAGAATTATAACTGTTAAGAAAAATAGCTGTATAACTCAGTGGGCCTTACCTGGTAGAAAAAAATGATTTTTTTTTTCAATATAGGTTTTAGTGTCTACTGTCAGGGCACATATTGGAGGTCATCTGCCGACTGTGCATCTGCTGTGGGATCAGGCGGCGGGTGGAAGATTTAGTTGTAGTTTTTTTTGGAATAGGCGACTTTGGAATTAAACTGAACGACAAATTTGAGGAGGGATCCGTAACGCAAACGCGCTCACCTCCACAACCACCGCTCCCCGACACGCACGCAAAGAGAGACACTTACGGGACGGACACGCATCCACAAAGAACACGACACAAAGAGTTGGTCGAACCAACTCTAGAGTTGTGCCGCGTGGTTTTTCTTTCTTCTTGTTGTTGTTGTTGTTCGCCACGATTGTCCGACGTTTCGCCGCACGAGCTGGGAGTCTCTTTCCATGAACGTCTCCCTATACCGGCCACCTCGCCCCGAACCATTCTTCGGTAGCCGTCTTCATTGATTCGAGTGCTGCAGAAGCTCCCCCGGCAACGTGGAGCGAAACGTCGGAACATCAACACCGAACAGGCGGGTGTACACACACGCCCAAAACCACACGGGGTTGACACACAGTCGCCAATAACCGCGCTACAAAAACCCATTGTACGCAAGCAAGCAGTAGCAGTACGTTAAAAACTTCACACCACCCCCCCCCCCCCCGGTTTTGACTCCCTCACTCACCCGTGACTTCTTGCGAGTTGCAGGTGATGGCCGTGTACGCCAGGAGGTAGGAGAACAACGTGGCAGAAGTCATCGTCAACATCGTCGTCTCTTCGATGCCGTCGTCTCACTCACGAGATGTGTTAATGAGCTGAACGAGGATTTCTGTCCGTCGGCTCTGGCTGGATAAGTCGGTCGGGTTTCCGCCTGTTCCCCCTTTTTATTCTTTTTCTGCTGCCGCTGCTCTGTATAAACTTTCACCGCCCACACCCCCGCCCCCCCCCAAAGTACACACACGCGCAACCCACCCAAAACCCACCGCAACACACACACAGACACAAACAGAAAACCCCGAGGAAAGTATGCTTAGTGTGTAAAAACACACGCAGTTTGTGGGCGTAAACGTCCAACTTGAATGCGCTTAAAGAGTAAGCCAAGAAGATAATGAGTGTATGTGTGTGTCATCACGCTTTATGTATTACTAAGCACATTCTTTAAAGATAACCCCCCCCCCCCGTCCTCCACCCCACCCACACATCGGAACAACAGCCTCAGTAAGTCTCAAGCCTCATGGGATCTGAGCTCCTGTCAACAACCTGATGATGCTACTCGCGTAGCCCCGCTCTCTGCCCCGATCATGAGTGTAGCACGGGGCCAGTTTAAAAACAAATTACCGGAGACAAAATCCTCCTAATTTTCACAACAGCTTCTGGTTGCCACCAGGTCTGTCCAGGGCAAACCGGGACGTTTCGTAACCGAACTGTTATTCCACACTCGTATTTACATACGAGCTTCATTTCATCCCGCGGGCTCTATTGATGTGGTCAAATAAATAAATTAATAAATTATTTAACTAATTAGAAAAGAAGCAGCGGGTCCACTGGGATGCACTATCTCATGAACAAGGCTATCGCTCAATTGAAGTTTGGGTTTTTTTTTTTTACCGTAGTAGACACATTATGTTACGCACGGAATATCATGGCCTGGATTTAGCGGGAGAGGGAGGGGGGGGAAGGGACATTTATCCACGGTCCAAGATTCAGATCGGCCCATGAAAAAAAATAATACGTCAGTTTTCGTTATTGGCAAATATGTGACTGTTTCGTCATTATTTGAATATGAAGCATACATAAATAAAACGATTAATTAATTGATTTCTGGTTTTATTTTTAAATCCTTTATATTAAGTTCACTTGCTTGCTTGCTTACGACCGTGCAAATCTTTCGGTCGTTTTTTAACCCACTTCCCGTGATCCAATCGAGCTGACATTTTCCACACAGACTCGTTGTGCGTGACAATTAATGTTCGTGAAAATTTTTTCCAAAATTTTACACTTTTTAGGACAAAAATATTATATTTAATTACCAATTGCTTAATGCTGCCATGCAATCATTTGACCCATAGGTGGCAGCCATCTCAAGCCAGAGGACGAGAGGACTCTAGCCGCCACGCATATAAAGGATTTATAGTGAAAAACTTTGTTTTTACGGATTATACTTGTTTTAGGTTTTAATTTCATCCTTCAATTTTCTCCGTGTGACACTGAGGGTTGGGAATTATATAAGTGTCTTTATGTGTATGGGGATGGTGTCTTTTTTTCTGCCCTAGTGTCAGGGACATAGATACCAAAAATGTGGCTTCGGTGAACGAGTTATAGGCCGAGCATGGTGAGGGCATCTTGCACGCATAGAATAAACCACCTCAATGAACCGGACACGCACGTACCACGATGCACATAACAACAAACGGGTCTTCCGTCTCATCCTAAGCTGCACGAACAGGAGCCGATAGCACACTTGCGTTAGGCTGCCGATGTTTAAATCTTCATTCAGTTTCAATTATTAGGTATAGCCCTGTGAGCCGTGCCGCAACAAACAAAAACATGAACAAGGAGCATCTTAAAGTGACTACGCGCAACAGAAAAATTCAGGAAAAAACAGCAAAGTCTTCCAGAATACCACATACCGACGTTCAAATTTAATCGTACCACTTGTATAGCAAAATACTAAACAAATATTAGACCAATTTTGCTTTCAAAATCAGCGTGCAGTGAAATGGTTTGAAAATTAGCAGCCTACTCACTTTAATCGGTACGTCTGACCTCTGTGATTGCCAACAAGGGTTTTGCCACCAAGTACTAAGTCATGTTTTACAGAGGGGTCAAATACTTATTTCCCTCATTAAAATGCAAATCAATTTATAACATTTTCGACATGCGTTTTTCTGGATTTTGTTGTTGTTATTCTGTCTCTCACTGTTCAAATTAACCCACCATTAAAATTATAGACTGATCATTTCTTTGTCAGTGGGCAAACGTACAAAATCAGCAGGGGAACGTCATTCTTAATTACGACTGCTGTGTTGGTGCAGCCCTAGGTGTTACCTGTGGGGGGAATAAGCCACATTTATCCGACATTTCGAAAATCCCAACAGACGTTTGAATGTTTCATACTCTTTTTTTAAAACGCTTCACTTAAAGCTTATTTTTATCTAAGTTTTAACTTTACGTGATTGATAACTACACTGATTTTGGAAGGAGCAAAAACGAACCTACACTTTCTTCTTGGTTCTTTCGGTAAAGTCACGTAGAAGGGAAGTAATAAAATAATAAAAATAAAACATAATAAAATAAAGCTGCAAGCTTATATATAAGCTCCTAGCTTGGCATTGTCTCATTCTTCACCTGAAGACGGCTGCTTGCGTTGTAGCCGAAACGTCGTGAGAATTATTTTATTTTATTATGTTTTATTTTTATTATTTTATTACTTCCCTTCTACGTGACTTTACCGAAAGAACCAAGAAGATGAATCTCTGCAGTCACGAAAGCTTTAAATCGGAACCTACACTAGTTTCGCAGAATGCACAAACTGCACTCTTCCAGAACTTTTTTTGCTTGGTAAACATATATTTATCTGCACGTGTTTTCAATTCTAATTCTCGTTAAACAAATATAACCTTCGTGGAATCTGCGAACGATCAACTGAAGTTTTCGGCAAACATTCCGAATATGCATAACAATAATTCGGCCTCGTTGTTTTTTGTTTCTGTTAAAAAGTAAAACAAGCAACAACGCTGAACCCAAGTTACAACAGACCCATACTTCACCCGAGTCTGAGCGCTTCTTGCCTCCCTAGCAACAAAGCTCCTGCAAAGTATATGTTGAGCAAAGATTCAACTTACATTGATTATAATGGCCCAGTAAATAAATAAAAAAAATTATCCTTTACCTTCCGTCAATGCAGTCGGTCACAGGGTTCACATTTTCACTCCCAACACGGCGTTCTGGGGTGTTCCGGCCCGTTTCCACCACCGCTGAGAACACCACAGTATATATAGAGGACTGCAGAGCTTGGGCAATTGTTGGTAGCTCCGGCTAACCATGCGGCTGTCCCTGTCACCTTCCCGCTCGTCTGTGGTTCCTCCTCACGCCTTTGAGTCGTTATCTCTCTTAGTCGAGAGTGCATCCTGCGGTGTGGTCGCGCGTTACAAATTTATTTCTTATTACTCTTTAAAATGAGACGCCAATTCGGTGTGAACCTAACCCTTGTTCTCAGGATGTTTAGCAACGTGTAGATGAATTTTAATGCATTGATTATATCGTATTCAAATTTCGATTTAAAGCTTTCGTGACTGCAGGGATTCATCTACTTGGTTCTTTCAGTAAAGTCACGTAGAAGGGAAGTAATAAAATAATAAAACATAATAAAATAAAATAATTCTCACGACGTTTCGGCTACAACGCAAGCAGCCGTCTTCAGGTGAGAATTATTTTATTTTTATTATTTTATTACTTCCCTTCTACGTGACTTTACCGAAAGAACCAAGCAGATATATCGTACTCGTTGTGTGAACACTAATCGCATTGTGGTCTGGGCGATGCGTTGGTTAAATTTATTTCATTGCTGTCATGTGTTTGACTTGTTTAGCTTTTATCATGATTGTCACCCAAATCAGACTTATCCTGGTCTCCTGAGTTATCGCCTCGTTGAACTCAAATTCAACTTGACTCAATGATTAGCAGCATCAGCAGAATTAGTAACAGCAGCAGGAGTAACAGCATCAGCAACTCCATGATTATCATTATCATCGTCATTATCGTCATCAGCAGTATTATCAGCAGCATCAATACGAAAGTCGGCAGCAGAAGCAGAATCATCAGCAGCAACATCATCAATCTTGAGTTCTCACTAGGTTAAACAAATACATTTTAACACGTAGGCTTTCGCGGCAATTATTATCCATCTACAAGGTTTTTTGGATTAGATCCCATAAATAAAAAAAATACTTGATTTTGTTCTGGGTTACCTATGAGCTTTAATACCATTCTATTCTGGATCAAGGGTCAATGTGTTTCTGGGAGAATAAAAATTTACATCTGAAACTAAATTTTCAAGATCGTGATCCGGGCTGTTAATGTGTTTTTCTCAAAAAAGAGCCTGGACTACCTTATGGAAACATGTGTTGCGCCATACCAAGGCGCTATAAGCAGCTTACCTGCCACCACGCTCACGGGCCTACAGGAGGCAGCCGAGAGAGAGTGAGGTGTGTAGGGGTTGACCAAAGGTCAAACCTCCTCCCCCCTGGGGGGCCCGTGACCGGAGGTTGACACCCTAGACCCCCCCAGGGGTTAGAGGCTGAGGGGGGATGGGCTTCCCCCACACCTTCCTAAGACTCCTTAAGATATAAGACCCTCTAAGACCTTTCAGAAGGTTATGGAGGGGGGGTCATGAGGGGAGGGGTAAGCCCGACCTGGAGATAAAAAGCCGACCCTCTGAACGTGTCCAGCAGTGTTCGCCAACTCAAGCTTGAAGACATCTGAAGACCTGAAGACTGGATCAGCACCCGGGAACCCTAAACCGAGGCACTCGTTAGAGCCGGGTTGTAGCGGACCCCAGGTAGCTCGGACACCCTGGGGCCCTCCCCGAGGCTCTGGTCAGAGCCGGGGTGTAGCGGACCAGGGGTAAGCCCCGTACCCTGCCTGGGACGGGTCGGTCCAGTCTTCCTTTAGACGCCGTGGCAAGGGACCGGTGTGTAGAGTAGCCCGGAGTGTGTAGGACGCGCTAGAAGGGTTGAAGGGGCCGTTTCCCATTCGTGTTACAGTTGCGATTAACAGAGTTGTTATAATAAACGCGTTACCTCCAGC